TATATATATATATATATATATATATATATATATATATATATATATATATATATATATATATATATATATATATATATATATATATATATATATATATATATATATATATATATATATATTGTACCTCTCTAGTCCGCCAACCTCGGGACCTGACCGGTGCCGGACAATGGAAATTTCCAGACTATGGAAATTCACCCTTTTCCTTAATAGATAGTGACTTGTGCTTACGCTTGGAAGCACTAGCACCACTTTCACTGCTTTGTGATCTCTTTGAAAACATGTTGAAGGGTGAAATGTTGTACAGTAGGTTCTCAAATTTCGCGAGTTTTTAATTCGACTTTTTTTATTTGGACACAAAAAAAGCACTACACAATTTAAAATTTTGACGGCGGAAACTCAAATTTCGACAGTTTTGACTGGCCCACCAACGTTCAGACGTGCATAATCGTGTAAACAGCGTCATTTCTCTTTTGTACAAAAGACTCATTATTGTTTATTACTGAATGTCTTTTTGATTGAATTAATGTTTATGTGTGAAAATGAACAATACAATTCATTAATATTACGTAGAATATTAAAACACACGAGGAGACGGCATTGTTTTCGTTGTTTACAAAACCAGTGACTGACTGGTTCTACATATAAAACTGCAAGAAAATAAGACCCTGGTTGTAGCTGTAGTAAAATTAATGTAAAAAAATTAAAATGGTTGTTTGAAGTAATGTTATTTAATGTTAATAAATGGAACAATATAAGTAGCTAACCATTAATGGTAAAGAAAAAAAGTGAGATCGCATATGTAAGTGCGCACATGTGAAAGCATATCGTCATTACTCTACATAAGAATATGAAAGCAACACTTATTTATTGTTCATATATATTTTATTTAATGTTTCTGAATTTAAAACATAAATTCTACCCACCAGTGGTGGTAAAGTTGAAAACATAAGGACAGCCAATGTTGTTGTGTGTGTTTTTACTCGGATGACGAAGTTGCCAAGTCATTAGGTTCAACTCTAACTTAAGCTGTAGAACATAAAAACTTTTTCTTTGTTGTTTTTAGTTTTTATTTAACTTTATCTGTGTTATTTTCGTTGGTTTATGAGGATGTTTCTTTATTAGAGTTAGTAATTCGCCAAAAAAGTAGGGTACATAAGGCAAAATTTAGCCAAACATCGAAAGTACCAGACTCAAATTAATTTTCTCCATGGGCAAACTAAAATCGTTCCGGACCACAGAATGACGGACTAGAGAGGCACAACCTGTATATATATATATTTTTTTTACAGTAGCAATAACGTGTGGTAAAAAAAAAATTGAAAAGCACTTTCTTAAGCACCTGCCAGTGTTTTGCCTTGTAACTGAAGAATACTTTGAAGCACTTCCAGTATTATGTAAAGTAGTTATCCTTATCTTTTTTTTTTTTTTTTATGTGGCCTGAAGTGAAAAGCTACACCCAAATTTTTATGATACTTTTCATGTCTTTATTGGCCATTACATTAGAAAATTTGTTGAAGCCGCACTGTCACATCATGTTCAGTCACAATGCTGTCAAACTGTATTCCACTGAGAAAATTTGAATCTTATATCTTAAATTAGAAATTAAGACAAAAATAATGTGTTCTGCCTAAAAATGCTTTGCTCTTTTGTTCCATACAGTACTTACAGTGTATACCTTCATACATTATACTGTACTGTGTATTAAAGAAATTTGTAGACTACAGTATACAGGGTATACAGAAATATCTCCGTTAGCCGGAACAATTGGTGCAGAACACTTCTGGTTATGAAAGTTTTCCGTGAAATGAGACGACTCTCTCAAACCCAGAAAAAATTCCCTATCCCCAGAATTTTCCAGGTACATTACTGGGTAAATTTTTTCAGAATTTCCGGAAATTGTGCATTACAATTTACATCATCTCTCAAATCCAGGAAAAAATCCTCCATCCCTGGAATTTTTCTAGCAACCAGAATTTTCTCGGAATTTTCCAGAATTATGCATTATTTCATCTCTCAAGCCCTGAAAAGGTCACCCAGCCCTGGATTTTTGCCAGAATTTTCTCAGAATTTTCCAGAAAATCAGACCCTCGGAAAATTCTGAGAAAATTTCAATTTCAGTTATCGGAGAGTTCCAGTTACGAGGGATTCTGGGTCACGGAGATATTACCGTACCGGAGAGTATTATTCTAACATGTTTGATTGTTCAAGCTCATAATGGTACTGTAGTGTAACACACTCTGCACCTTGGGGTTCATTTGGCTTTATTGTTATATTCTTTGCGAGGAATTATTTGTGTCCTTATTCCACATTGTAGAAATAGATATGGACAAACCTGTCAGGGGTCCTGGTGACTGGTCCATTGTGTTAGGCTTTATTGAGTGAAGATAATTCATAGTTTTCCTTGACCTTAAACTACACTGTTGCCACGTCACACATATGAGCCGCTCCAAAGGATCTTCCCAAATAGCTCCTGTGGAGAGAAGATAAATGTTAAATTACCTTCTTATCTAAATTGTTGTCATTGTCACTTAAGGATCTAAAGTATGGTTCAGTTAAGTACAGTATTACATAACTAGTTTGCTGCATCTGTTCTGTAAGTGAGATGCTGTACTAACTGTATATGACTTTTGGGTTGTTACTCAAGGACATTTCAGATTAGCCCAGTGAGGGTGCACCCCAGGAATTTATCTCGGGGGAACATATGATTTCCCAATCATGTACAGTAGTTGAAAACTAAGAAAAACTTTATTTCTCTTATTTATTTATACTGTACAGTAAATTTATATACAGTACGGTGAGCGACAAAACATTCTTGCCAGTTTTGTCTGATGAGGGTACAGCATCCTGTATTCTGAAATAGATTTGACAAAAAAGTTCCATTTGGGGTGTGGATGCTCATCCTCAAGATAAGTTAGAAGCCTTCTAAGGATCTCACAACTGGTTTACAAGCACCAAGTTGTTCACTGTATGCTAATGAGTTGTCTCACTGTGTCTCCAGTCAAGTCTGAGTTACCCTTCAATCAGCAGTGTCAACAGCTCCCATTTGTCTAAGATGATGCAACTTCTGTATGGGAAATTTGTGGAACTCTGTTTTTTTGTTCTTTCAAATACTGCACAGTAGTTCCATTATGCCACCAACTGCTATATGGAGGCTTTGGCTACTGCCGATGACTGTCACTAACATATGTAACAAGGATCCACATTAGCTTCAGCCTCTTCTGGAGACATCATTAAGATTAGCAACTTAGCTGTACAGTACTGTAGTTATATTCAACAAATTCTGACACACACCTCTTCTCCTGTCCTATGTCAGCTATAATTTAACCTACTTTGTAAGCTATAATTTGACCTAGGGTACTGTGTCAGCTATAATTTAACCTACTTTGTAAGCTATAATTTGACCTAGGGTACTGTGTCAGCTACAATTTGACCTCTTTTACTGTGTCAGCTATAATTTGACCTACTGTGTCAGCTACAATTTGACCTCTTCTGTGTCAGCTATAATTTGACCTACTGTGTCAGCTACAATTTGACCTCTTCTACTGTCAGCTATAATTTGACCTACTGTGTCAGCTACAATTTGACCTCTTCAACTGTGTCAGCTATAATTTGACCTCTTCAACTGTGTCAGCTATAATTTGACCTCTTCAACTGTGTCAGCTATAATGTGACCTCTCTTACTGTGTGACCTATATATATAATTTGTAGTTAGACTCAAGGATTCACACCATTAATATGTTTAAGTTTACCATTATTCAGATTCAGAATATATTTATGGGCTTAAGGAAAAAACAAAAACCATTTCATGTGTATCGTCTAGTGTCATATACTCGAGTTTTTTGGTAAAATTCTGACAACTAAGACAAAATTCAGTAGCTGGTCAATACATACTGTACTGCCGTGACTAAAGAACAAAGCATAGTACGGTTGAAGAGTTATTCAGTGTAATAATCAAGCCACATACAATAGTCAAAACCCATTATCTTGGCCTTATTCAATATGTCATTTTATTTCATCCTTTTTTTTTTTATTGAAAGTGACTGCATAGTATCCTGATAATTCAAGTAAGGGTAAGTTTTGTCTTAATCCAAGGTTACTAAAGTTAATCCTCCTTAAGATAATCACACCCAATAAATATAATTCCCCCAAATGCATAACCTGTATTGGTAAAATTTTCCAGTAAATAAATAAAGCATGAAGGATTCTTTTGTTTTAACTGACTAGAGGAAGATTCCACCATAGGACTGATAGATATGTCAGTAAATAGTAAATCTAAAACTGTTTTAGAAGCACCAAGCTTTTTTTTCCATCTCAGCCAGTCACTGCAATTTATGATATTGGCATCAACATTTTAGTTTAGTGATGCTGGCTGGCTGGATAGCATCCCTATAATTTCATTTTTATGCATTTTTATTTCCAGAATGAATGATGTATTAGTCTAGTATAGTACATGTATTGGCACATATAACTGTGATCTCTCTGTGTCCTGCAAAATTTTTAAATTCTTCAGTATAAGGTGATATGCAATTTGTTCATATGATTATATTAAATAAGCTGAACACAAGCCAATAGTTAGCCCCTGTGAGTACTGTACTGCCTAGATAAATCTTCAGTTAAGTCAACTTACTTAGTAGTTAGATCTCCCTATTCTCTAATCCATTTTTTCCTTATTTTATAGTACAGTACTTTTCTTCCCATCTCTGCGATATGTTGTGCCTTTCTCAGATTGAATATATTACTGTATTTACAAATACGTATGCAAAAACTGTGATATGAGAATACTGTACTTTTTCATGTGTTTTGAATGATAAACAAGAAATATCAGTGATGTTCCAAGTAGCTGTAAAAATATTTAGGGCTTTGCCTTGTGGAAATACGGGGTGTCCCCAGTCTCATGCAAACAAAATTTGTATTACTCACAGAACTTTTTAAATACGTTGGTGATAATAACAACATCAAACACTGCAGTATCAGTATTTCATCCTCACTCCTTTTTCCAGGATCGCCCAACGAGAGCGGCTTCATGGTCAACAAGCGTGCCATGTATGAACCCGGCGCGGTTATGGTGTGCTCTCAGAAACGAGCATGTTGTGTAGTGACGCTTGGCTTTATTGCCATCATTACTATTGCACTTATTGTTGCTTTTACAAAACCAGGTATTTATTATATGTTTTATCATCTTCAACTTTGATTATTTTGTCTATTATTCAGCATTCATTATTAATTTTTATAGCTGGTTAATCTTTTAAGACAATGAATGAATCCTCTTTTTTGGCTAATGTTATCTGCCAGGTAGTTCCTCATAATACTGTACTGTACAGACTGCCAGGTGAATAATTAAGTGTTCTCACAAGCCCCACTTATCTAGGCAGGGTTAACACAGGGTCATTTTTGTATTCGAGAACTTAAACAATTACTATATTTTAGGAATTGCAATAAACAGGAACCTAAAAATCAGTAGGAATAAAGTCTGATCATTGTGAAGAACATCAATGATCAGAAATAAAGTCAAATCATGACAAAGATTACCTTTGATCAGACTGATTTTTAGGTTCCTGTTTATTGCACGTTTTAAAATAAAGTAATCATTTTAAGGTTCTCGAATCTAAAAATGACCCTGTGTATTGACCTGAGTAGATAAAACAACTGACATTTCACTCTCCATCACATCTATTGTCTTAAAATAGTGAAGTAAGGTGCAACAGCTGTGTTCTAGAAGCATGAGGTTATATCAATACTGAAGCATGGATGATAACTACCTAAGCATCATCCAGAGTATGGTACTTAAGCTAGCCTTTGGATGACAAATATATCGTCCAAACCTTTAAAAATTCACTAAAAATCTGTCTTTGGGTTTACTGGTGCTTGTTTTAGTTTAACACCTTGTCTACGGGGTCTCTGTGCTGAATAAAATCATCTCCCGCGAGCAAAATAAATTATCAAAGGCAGCATCCCTATAGTGAAGAGGTTAAAACATGCACCAACCTTTCACACACACACATACACAAGTACAATAGAACCTCAATAATTCGGCCTCCAATAATTTGAAGTACTGTACTGTACTGTACTGGCTAATACATGGGGGTCATTTGAGGACACTGAAAGCTCCATTTTGTAGCCAATATCATGAGAAGCTCATTGTGTGTTGGCTTTACTGTACTAGGTAAAGGATTTTTATTTTTATTTAAAGTTGTCGCTAATATTCACTTGGAAAATGAGTTTAACGATAATATTTTACTCTTCAGGATGTCCAGAAGCAACTTACACTGGAGAACCATTTCCAGGACAAAGTAATCATCCCACTGTCTCTCCTCCGAGCACACCGCCAACAGCCACCAATGGAGAAGAATTTCCTTGGGCAGATGTTCGATTGCCCTTTCATGTTCGACCATTGCATTACGACATCAGTCTCCATCCCAACTTGACCACCAGACATGTTCAGGGTATGTTGATTACTGATAGATGAGTTAGCTTTCTTGGGTAGCTACACTAAAATCCTGACTTTTGCAGCCCATTGCAGTAATTGTCCTGATTAGTGAATAGTCACAACTGGATCAACTTCTATTGAAATCAAGCAGCTACAGTATTTTCCCTTAAAGAAATAGAAATAATTAAATTGTGACTCAAGTTCTCACCAGACTTATTGAGAAATGTGTGTGCGTGTGTACCCCGAGTTGGTGATGTAATTATGTACCCTCAGTGGGGTACAAAGCCACCTGCTCTAAGTCAGAGATGTAATGGTCATTGAGCCTCGATCGCCCTCCGGTTTTAGGATATTTTGTCATCAGTGCAGTGTAAATCTAACCTAACCTAACAATGGCTTCATCGCCTCCAAAATATAAGATATTATTATCTAAATTTAATACATATAACACGGTGCAGTATTTAATAGACCGGTGACGAAATGTCCGACCACCCCCTCCTCCATTTCATCCACCAACTGGATGGTTAGGGGCAACTCAGACTGCTGGAACCCCTTCCCCCCAGACACCAACACCTTCACTCTCTCTCCCTTCCTCTACCCACACATCCTTCCTCACTTGACTCCCTCTCTCCCATAATCAGACAAATCTACATTTGTTACAAGTGTATGGTATGCAGATTCAAGGCAGTGAGGAAAATATGATCATGAAATAGCTTTACAAAAGGTTTCTCGGGGATGGAACCCTTTTATGAACTGGGGAATGCCTGTACAGTAGTATGTAGCACAGTGTCAAAATGCAAACAATGATGATGAAGTTCTGATCATCACATCTGTACTGTATATATACATACATGTTTATACATTATAATATATGGGTTACTCAACAACTATATGCATGTTGGGATAAAAGGAACGCCCACTCCTATACGCCCATATGTTTGCCCGCCCAACCATTACAACTAGGGGGAATGAGAAGAAACTTGAAACTGATCCTGTGATAAACCTGTCAGATGGGTAATAGTGCCAATTTGTCTCAATTCATTTCACCCTTAACCTCAGAACAGATGCCCCATACACACCAGAGTGGGGTCAACTGTGCCCATATTGTGGACTGGCCAATTTGGTTTGGTGGGTTTTGAGGTGGAGTGGAAAAACCCTGTGATGGGCAGACAGTGGTTAAGGGCAGCGGCATAAACTTGGTTAATGTAAAGTGAAGCTTCCGTACAGTATTTAGTTAACAATAGGAAGAGGACTTAAGTAATCTCATATAATGTCCTTTTGTTTGAATGAATAAAGAAACGTAGATGTCTCTTTAAATTTCCCCTGACTCATATAATAACAATGAGTTCCCCAGCAACAGATGAATGAGTCAGTACAGAACATAGGGTAGGTAAGCACATGTTAAATAACTAAGTAAGAAATCAGTATAAGAGAGTACAGTACATGTAAGTAATAAAAAGAAAGAATAAGAGTACAGTAATTAATTATAGAATTAAAAGGAAAGAAATAAGCAAACTCCTCTTCATTCATTTACTTGTTATATATAATTTCTTCAAATAATAATAACGTTCTTACAATGTGATTAACAGAAAATAAGCTTGCTACATAAGTGTACAGTGTATGTACAGTCGCCTCTCCTCCTGAACCACGAACCCTGAGATTCAAACTCTTGAAACAAAAGCATTTATGGACAGATTAATGCATCAGTTTCTACTGCTTTGGGTTCATGTGTGTGAATCTGAGGGTTCGTGAAGCTGCAGGAGAGGTGTGGGTGACTGTACTGTCCAGCATTGTGCATTAAATATTTACATTTTCAGGAGAGATGACAATCAAGCTTACTACTATTGAAGAGACGACAGCTATAATCATCCATGGCCATGAACTGAATGTTTCACAGTATTCATTAAAAAACAAATATGGGAAACCCATTGAAATAATCAAGTTTCTTATATACCCAAGACATCAACAAGTGAGTCATTTTATAAGTAGTGTTGTCTTCTGAAACTTTTATAATGATGCCTTACCTCTTGATGTACAGTTAGCATCATTGGAAGTAAGAAAACTTGTGGCTAATGGAGACATCTGACTTCTCCTTGAGGTTATAAGTAGTATTTTCTCATGAATTAATCACTTTGTTGCATCAGGTCAGAGTGATTCATTCACGAATAAATAATACGTACTATCTTGAGGAGATGGTAGATGTCTCCTTCAGCCACAAGTTTTCTCGCTTCCTATGATGCCAACTGTACGTCTACATCTATTAAATGGACTGAGCTAACCTTACAAATATGCTGTATTTGAACTAGTAAACTGATTCCTTTGCAGGCTGAGGATGGTTCACAATTCTTGAATTTAGATTAAAAATGTGACATTGTAAATTTATTTAAATATAAAATATTATACATATTATAAGTGAAAAGAGAAAGAAATGGGTTCCCCATTTTTCAGGGGGGAGGCAATTGGTCCCCCCCCCTCCTATCCCCCAGTGGAAGCCCATGTCAACACCATCTATGAACAACAGGCTATCTAATATACTATAGGACTAGACTTGTGTCTGTCTGTCTGTCTGTCTGTGTGTGTGTCTGTTCTGGGCAGCCGAAAAGGCACAATCGTTTTTCATCAAACTTGGTGGAAAAATCGCAAAAAATTCGTAGAGTGGAACAAACCTGGTCCCATGTCGATGGTTTCTTTAGGAAGGCATTAATTAACCATTTTAATTAAGCTGGCAAAAGATGTCGCTGTACGCTGTCAGCCGGACGATTGCAGTTATCGTACGGCTCCCTCCTCCTCCCCCCATTTTTTCTCCAAGCCTACTTTTTTTTGTGTTGTTTGGATTAGTAAAGGAAGGAAGATGAGGAAATAGAAGAATAAAGAAGGGGAAACAGAAAATAGTTAGAGATATCAGGTGGGGGGAGCTGAGTTTCATCATGCGTCTGGATGCGCGGTTGCAACGTTACCAGATCATTTTCGGACCTTACGAGGCTACAGTGTACACTTATTCCTGTGGCTGACTGTACAGTAGGCTCTCGCCAATAACGACTTCCACAATAATGTTTTCGACAATAACGGTAAGTTACAATAGTTACCCATTTTCGATAAAAACGTCTGGATTCTCTTGAATAACGGAGATTTTGCGGGAAGTTGTCCGAGCGCGTCAATGATAGCGTTTGTTTGCCGCCATGTTGATGACGTAGTAGTCCGCTCCATCTCACTCTCGCTCTCACACACGCTCCGTGGAATACAGCGCTGCGCCCATGTGTGAGATTTTCGCCTCTATAACCAGTGGTTGTTAGGGTCGGTGATCAATAATGGCTTCCGCATTTTTGCCTGTGGGGGCTAGGGGAGGTGGTGGAGGGAGTGATTTGCCACCTGAATGCCCGGGAACTTTTAAAGTGAGGAAATTGAACTGTCCTGAGTCTACAGTGCGAAATTTTAAGAGGAACTTAGAGGAGACCAAGAGAAGTATTGCGCTGGCTAAAAATATTTCGGTAATGATGGAAATGTGAGGTGAGCTATGAAAGATAAAGGCGATAGAAACAGGTTGTTAGTGATACCAGAGCATTTTCTTGTGAAATGTTTAGCTTGTAGAATGAAAGACAGTGCAAGTGTATAAGCGGCCCTCAGATACGGAACAACCATCACACCAAGCACCTCAAAAACTCCCCCAAGCTAAGTGTTATATTACTCAAACTCTTTATTTTGATGATTGAATAAAAAAATTTTTTTTTCAGCGAACAAAAAGTGTTAGGAGGGCTTCAAAGGGGAAAAATGGGTGAAATTCTTGTGGCGGCGGCACCAATAAACCCTTTTTACATGTATTTTAATGTCACACAAATAACGTGTTCGCTAATAACTGTTTTCAGGCACCTATTAGACGTTATTGGTGAGAGCCTACTGTACATGGAAAAGGAGAAGAGATAAAAGATAATAACAGGAATGCATGAAGAAGATAGAAAGGGAGAAGAAGAGAGACTGAAGAATTATTATCCTTAAGAGGCGAGCAAGGAAAGGAGATGGGAGAGAGGGATAGTGAGAGGTGGAGGTATGAATGGAGGGATGTGTTTTTTAAAGTTCCCAGAATACCATATTAAAATCACCTATTTAATAAGGGAGAAAAAGTGCTAAATATGATGAGTAGTGTAATGGAGAGACATAGAGATATACTGTATAAATAAAGATAGAGATAGTACGGATAAAAATGGAGAGAGAGACAAGCAGACAAACAAAAGACATAGACATAATACAGACAGATTCAAGGACACGCAGAAAGACAGACAGATAGACAGACTTATGAAAGACAATGACAACATATAAGACAGACACATACATACAGACAGACAGACATGACTACAATAGACACAGGGTGAATATAGACAGTGAAACAGACAGGAGGTTGACAAAAAATAGACAGATTCATACATGCACAAATAGACAATATGCCAACTAACATGACAGACTGACAGGTTGACAGCTGACTGACTGGTTCACATTAGACAAACAGGCAGACACACGCCAACAACGGATAAGACAGACAGATTTGACGACACAAGGAGTACAGACGGGCTTACAGTCAAACACCACGCAGACGAACAGACAGTTGGGATGGCAATAGACAGGAGGGATAGACTTGAGACAGATTAGAAGGCATTTATCAACAAGAATAACACCAAATTGACCATAGCTGCATCAGTGAGGGTAGCTGGTCTTACATCCACCAGCGTAAATAATAAGACGCATTGAAAACTAACACCCTCGCCCGGAAAGAACATCGATGGTCGGTCAGTCATGTGAGATGGGCCTAAAACTCACTAACATAGATGATGACTATGATGACTTAACACAGGTGATGACTTAAGCAGATGGTGACTAATCTAACCAATATCAAGGTCATTTTCTTTTCATAATATAATTTATCTCGGAATGATCATCAGTGATTCATAATAATTTTTTGGGGGGGGATTTTAACCTCGCCTTACGACTAATATTTCTTTAACTAATTATTCTAACCTTTATTCTATTCCTACCTATAGTATACTAGCTACTTACAGTATCCGTAAGACATTAGCTATTGGAAATGTGATTAAATATTTTGTTATTAATCCAGTGTGAAATGTATCGGTATTGGTGGTACAATCCTAATGGCCTCTAATCCTGTTGATAAGGTGAGGTTAATCTGGGTTTATTGAGATTGAAGATAAGGTGTGGGGTTTATTCTACCTGTGTTAGTCTCAGGTACGACCCATATTGTAACAATCATGACCATGATTATAACAATCACGACCATGATTATAACAACCACGACCATGATTATAACAACCACAACCATGATTATAACAACCACGACCATCTGGAAAACGATGCCGCTGTACACTGTCAGCCGGACAACGGTTGCGCGCTAGCCAAGCACGAGCGTTCGAACTTTCACGCCTTGGTAAGCTGTACCACCGGACTCGCCAGCGGGCACGAAGGGCCCACGATCACTTGTACTGTACTACTTACTGTAGGGGCAACACTGCCTACATAAAGGTGTCAACTCTGTAAACATATACAGTAGATCTCTTTAGACCGTTGAATCTATTGGCATCATTTGTTCAAAATTAGATAAATAAGCAAGTTATATATTAGACTTTCCTTTTATGACTGTACATGAGGACTTGTCAACAGTGTAGTTTCTCAATGCTAACTCATTTATGATTTTTTTTTTGACAAGTATAATATTTTTATAATATGCAGAGTAGCAGTTTGTAGTGCAGAGATTACTTGTTTCAATTTAGTCATCTAGGAATATGTGACATGTTTAAACATAGAATTTACAGAAATAGAACTTGTGTAATTCAAGGTTTAACTTCACTATTATCTCAAGTCCATGTGCTACCGCATAATTTTAAACATTCACCCACATAACTTTCCATCTTTGTTATAGTTTTTTCACTGTGTTTTACTATTAATGTACAGAAAGCACCATTCAGTAAATTCTTCCTCCTTACAGTTGTATCTCGGGTTAGATGAGATCTTGAGGCGTGGAAGTAACTACACTCTCAAGATGAGTTTTGAAACCACATTGAAGGAAGAACTTGATGGATTCTACTTGTCATCTTATATCAATGGTGATGGAGAAAAAAGGTAAGTGAAGCTGCTTGTTACATACAGTTGCTTATTCAAAACTAATCCAAAAAGAATTAATTGTGCCCCCTACTTTGTCAGATCCCATTTTTTGTGGGTTAATAATGTCATGGAGAAGTACAGACTGTGCTGTGTAAACCCAGATGAAACATTTTTTCACATGCAGTAACATACAACTGGTGCAAAATTATGTTCTTTTTGAAATTCATTGGTCCCCTCCAAGAAGATACTTTCTGGAGTAAGTTTACATAGTTATATAAATTTGCTGCCTCTCTTTTAGCTATCACTTTAGGTCATGGGCTAGTTGGCATATTCAGAAATCCAGCTCTTCTCAGGCAACAGGAAAATACTGTAGCCTGGGTGTTCCTGCCATCTCTCTGTGCCTGGTTGTATTCATATACCTGTTAGAAAAGTGATATTGCTTCATTTTTTTTGTAGGTACATTGCCACCACTCACTTTGAGCCTACATCTGCCCGCTCTGCCTTCCCATGCTTTGATGAGCCTCACCTAAAAGCCAAGTTTCACTTAAGTATTTACCGAGATTCACAGCACTTTACCCTCTTCAATATGCCTCAACAAACAACAGTACCGGTCGAAGGCTCTGATCTGGTAAGAAATGACCACTGTGTGTTTTTATAAGGTAATCCTTGTTTGTTTTAATGTTAATCTGGTTTACATGGTTTTATTTTTAACTTTCCAATACTGAAGATACACTTTTTAAAAGTCTCTAAAAAATAATTTTTTTCCACCTTTCAGTTCCTCGATGAATTTCAAGAGAGCGTGGAAATGAGCACGTACTTGGTGGCGTTTATCGTGTGTGATTACGACCTCGTGTATAATTTTACAGAGCACAATGTCAAAGTGTCGGTCTATGCTCCACCAAATATGATAAACCAAGCTAACTATTCATTACGTATAGCATCTCACATACTTGACTATTATGATAAATTCTTTGGTGTGGCATATCCATTGCCAAAACAAGGTAAAACATTATCTTTTACTACATTACTATACTGTATATTATATTCTAGTTGCTTGTATTATATGGAAATACAGGTAGTTCTGCTATAACGCAATAATTGTGTTCTTGTAAAATATCGTGTTATAGAAAATCGCGTAATAGAAATAACAGGGCTTATGGAGAAAATAGGGTTAGGTGCAGATTACTCGAAATCGAAAAAATGTAGTAGTTAGCCTAACACAAAGGATAGCACAGTCTAAATAAATGTTACATTCATATGTAATAATGAAATCTTACAGTAAATGTAACACTTTACCTTGAAAAAATATGAATGTAACTTGATGGGGGAGAAGGGTGATTTTGAGGTTGATAAAATCGAGCTTCTCTTCAAGTGTTATATCCTTTCTTTTACGATCATCACCGGGAATTCTATCACCAGAACGCTTCTTGGAGATATTCTTCTTTACCATATTCACAGTTAATACCACAAAATTGGAGAAATAGTAAGCAAAAATCGAGTTATAGCAAACAAGCGTTCGCGTTATACAAATATCGTTCCTAATTCAAAAATCGCGTTAGAGCAAATTCGCGTTATCAAAACACGCGTTATAGCAGAACTCACTGTAGGAGTTGTTGTTGAGTGAAAGCAATGCTCGCCTCCTGTTCCATGGGTTGGTGGTTCAGTCCCCTGGCAGTCCCAGTTCATCCAGCTGTAATTCGGTACCTGAAATTACAACTTTTGGAAGTGAATTTGGTTGAGTGCAGTACTGGCCATCCTGCCTCCTTGTGTACCAAAGACTTAGTATACAGTGTGCTGTATCCACACTGTCCCTAATGGGCAGTCATGCCTATGGGACACACTTTCTTATTAAAAAATAAATTAAAAAATAATTATCATGCAGTTCTTCATCTTTTATTTTGTTATTTTCTCTTATTATTTTCTTACTACTTGTAAACCTTTTTTTGTTGTTCATCATTTCACTTAATACATTTATTATAAATGACTTAAAAGATACAGTACTGTATATGGTTTTCTTGGCATTGTGGGATATTTATCAATACAGTATAGTATTTAAATGTTCTTTCATCTTATATCATGCACTTATATTCTCTCTCTCGTTCATGGGAGAGAGAGAGAGAGGGATGTTTTCAGAGACCTATCCATACATTTTGATGGCCCTCTAAACAATGAAGAGTCAAATAGTTTTGAAATGCTTTTCATATTTTACAGTTGGTTTGCCACCCAAATTATTGTAGAAATTTGCATAATGGTTGTTAATTAGAATTTTTTTTACTTTTTTTTTTTACATTTGTATACAGGGTCTCAGAGCTGAATAAAATGCTAAAAGTGACATCTCTGTAGTGAAAGGATTAACAGTGTATTTTTAGCTTGTCACTCACTCACTCTTAAGTCAGGCAATGTGGGTAAATCTGTTAATCACTTGAATAATACTTCTGTTCTCCTCTGTGATATCAGCCTCTGTAGGGGACATGGTGTGGCAGTAATTTAAAAGAAAAGAATATCTAATTAGAACTGTGACTGCTCAGCCAGCCCCCACTCGTAGTCCTGCACTCTGTCAATCCCCCACTCATAGTCCTGCACTCTGTCAATCCCCCACTCATAGTCCTGCACTCTGTCAATCCCCCACTCATAGTCCTGCACTCTGTCAATCCCCCACATAAACTTGAGCTGATATAATCAACCACAGGCAGAAAAAAGTTACATAATTGTTGGCTATTCCTTGATAGGTTTTTCCTTAAATGCTAAGTATTGTACCCCATTTGTGGATACTAAAGGATCCATCAGCTGCTTGCTTACTTCAGGTGTAGGTGTTATATTGTATAGTATAGTAAAATTAATATTTTATCTTGTATATTATGTCACATTGACTTGTAAGGAGAGTTAACATTTTTCCCACCCTTTCTGAGTCTCTAAAGTTGTCTCAGTTTGTGGCTTTCCTGAACACAGGAGTTTGATGACGACCCTTTTACTCACAAACCATGTGGCCTGATAGGTTACATATTTTTATACATTATCCAGGCTAATTGCTTATAATCAGCCAAACTGGGTTAAGCAGATCCAAAAGTTACATTCCATGAGAATATACCATCCTTACCATTGAGTGTCAAGGGCTCTGTCACCACATGTAGAAAGACTTGGGATCAAACTATCATATGGGAGGCCCACAGTATACCGTATTTTGATGAATATAAGCCGCCCCCAATTCTAAATCGCAGGGTGAGTTATAAACAGAATTCGTGCAAAAAAGCTTGGCCTTCGATTCTTAGAGAACATATGTATTCAAACCACCTTATGAAGGACAGCTGTCATTACACCCTGTTTTAGCTGGATGAGAATGCAGATAATTCCATGAACAAGGTAAACTCTGTAGGGAATGTTCTCATGTTAATAGTTTCACAGGTCATCTGTCTCTTTCCCTTTGCCATAAAATGGAATCTCATGCTTTAATCATTCAAGGTTATTTTAAATGTATTTTTATTGCATTTATCCCAGAACTTCAATACTGTGTAGCTAAATTATACTGTACTTAACTTAATTTTCCTTATCATACTTTGTGTGATTATTTTATGCACTTTATAAAGTTCTTAATCAAAATATTCTAATTTAGCATTTTGTTTTCAGATTTAATTGCAATCCCGGACTTTGGAGCTGGAGCGATGGAGAACTGGGGTCTGATTACATACAGAGAGACAGCTCTTATGTTTGACAAGAATAACACATCCTCAAGGTCACAACAGAGGGTAGCTGTTGCCATAGCCCATGAGTTAGCTCATCAGTGGTTTGGCAATCTTGTCACAATGTCATGGTTAGTTAAGAACAGTATATTTTTCTAGTCTTCGCAGTTTGTGCTCCTACATGAAGTAAAACCAACAGTAAAGGGAAAATGCAACTTATACCTTTGTACAATGCCTTTGTGAGTATAGACAATGCTTTTATGAGTAAAATTTAGACATGACACATAGTTATGTTGAAGCATAGCATGAAAGGAACTGTACTATGTAGGAGCCAAGCAAACTTCACTTACCTTATACGGTACAGTGAGTCTTGAGAAATGAAGGACTGTGCCCAGAATCCCATTTAATGAGAGAGTTGGGAACTACATGTATGTGGCTCGTGAATTATCATCATGGTACTTGAGATACAAAGCTGGGCCTAACTTTTAGGCAGCATACACTGGGACTAGTTCATGAAATATTGTAGTTACTCTTCCCTACCACAACCAACACCCAAAAAGGACCTTGATAGACAAGGGAAAACTAAAAAATTTTCCACACAAAAGTTTGATTCTTTCCAAACTGAAGCAGTATCGACCCTGAATGAGATAAAACAACACACCTGCACCAGATGACAGTCGGGTAAGTCAGTTCGGAGACTCATTCCCGTGACTCAGTTTCACCACAGGGAGAGAACCTTTGTCCCTGACTGTACACGGGGAGTTATGCAGAAACTATCAGCATTACTCCAACCTGCACAAGTATGTTCAGGCAAAGGATCCCTCTGGGGCTATGCCTGAAGCAGTCTTCTTCTGCGCAGGATCACAAGTCTCAGCGTGTTAGACATGTGGGTAAATTTGATAACTTTGGTGTAATTCAGAAATTTGGGTATCAGTCTCAATAAATTACTGAGTAATTCAACATTACCAGAAATGTCTGAATTATCTTGAAATATGAATTGAAAGTTAAATCAGAGGTGTTTGAGTGAAAGAAAGAAGTGTAGCAGCTATTTTGCTCATGAATGTTAAATTTATACAAGGTACTGTATAGGAATTACTATAGTTCAGTAAAGATTATGTACTGTATAATAGAATATAACCCTATTACAGGTGTACTGTATGTTAGTAATTCACTGGAGTGCAGCGATCGAGTGGATACAGTGCTCTCCTCATGTTCCTAGGATTGGTGGTTCAATCCTTGTGTACTCCCACTCCACCCAGCTGTAAATGGGTACCTAAGTTTACATCTTGCGGAAGTGAATGTGGTCTAGTGCAGTAACCGGCCATGCTGCCTCCTTGTGTACTGAAGGCTTAGTATACGGTGTGCTGTATCCACACTGTCCCTAATAGGCAGTCATGCCTATGGTACCCACTTTTACTTTTTCAGTAACTCACAATGATGTTCTGTATTATTTAACAGGTGGAGTGACTTGTGGTTAAACGAAGGCTTTGCGAGCTTCATGGAGAATATTGGTGCTGCAGTGGCTGAGCCGGGCTGGGCCATGGAGGAACAATTTATAGTAGAGAAGATGCACCCGGCTCTCTCACTGGATGCTCTTCTGGCCTCCCACCCTATATCTACACCAGTGACCGACCCTGCACAGATTGAATCTATATTTGATACAATATCCTACAAAAAGGTTTGCATTGATTTCTCATTTTTTCCTCTTAACCCCTTGTGTAAGGGCTCCCTCTGAGCCAAATAAAATTGTCTGGAATTCGCCAATTAAAATATTAAAAGTGATATCCTCATAGTGAAGGGGTTAAATATTCTTCATATAATGTATTGGAGTCAACTGTGTATTCTAAGAACCAAGAGATTTTTCAGTTCACTACAGTAAATGTCTATGGTATGCTTAGAGCAGTTGTATAAGGAAAAGAGGATCAACAAGGTTGATTATGGGTAAGAATGACAGGTACTGTACAGTATCATCTGATAGGGTATAAGACAAGTCATGTAAAAAAAATTTTATTTTCAGGGAGCATCTATCATTAGCATGCTTGAGTCCTTCATTGGTCGTAACATGCTACAAGAGGGCCTCAGACTATACCTAGATTCCCATCGATATGGTAATGCAGCTACAGATGATTTATGGGAGGCACTAACAACAGTCACAAAGAAACATGGTAAAGAGTTAGATATAAAGGTGGGTATTAACATAACACTACTGTATTATATTCTCACTGGAAAAGACTTGATGGACTTGAGAAAATAAAAGTATACCTCTACTTCTTTCCAGCACTTTTCCACTTAATGCAGGGTGGTCAAAAATGAAAGCAAATACACACACGCGCGCACACACACACACACACACACACACACACACACACACACACACACACACACACATATTTCTTTTTCCTCCATTCTTTGTTGCCATTCAGTTTTCTTACTTTATTAAAAGATGTGTTATTCTACGGTACTCACCCCACCCCCCCACAACACTACCCCAATTCTAGTGTATTCATCACTTCACATAAGCTTGGATTACTTATCATCAGTGTGTTGTATCCCAAAAGTTAATACTTTGCTGTTTGCTTCTTCTTGTGCATCTCTCACCTTATTCTTTCATCTCCTTCCTCATACCATCCACCTCCATATTATCCTCCTTACACCTAGTTAGTATCTCACTTAACTGCTATCTAGTACCTCACTTAACTGGTAGCTAGTACCTCACTTAACTGCTTGCTATTACCTCACTAACCTAACTTGACCAAACCAAACTGCTGTTTCAAAATACAGTATACCAGGCTGCAGTATTCTAAAGTGTGAATAACAGAGGCTCTTCTGTGTTTGGGATACAGCCTCACATATACGAGTATTGTCTAGGGATCTTTGAGGTCGCTCATTTCTTGCCTTAGCCATCAATGGGATTTCTTACTTCAATCCCTTGTTTCTGTTATCATATTCTCATTTAGATCTAGTGCACAAACAGCATGTGTATATTTTTGTTATGGTTAAATCCTGCACTAGTGTGTTATATGATGGTTAGATCACTGTTTAAGTATATTAATTCATTCATTCAGTATTATGCACATAGACTTGTTATCCATAATGACATATATCTTAATCTCCACTTCAGGGCATTATGGACACATGGACACTGCAGGCTGGTTTTCCTCTCATTTCTGTTAGCCTACAAGATGGTCACGTGACAGCCAGTCAAGCACGATTTTTGGTGTGTGAAGAAAATGTGACAGACCCAAATGAACCCCTAAATACAACACTGGGGTACAGATGGCATGTGCCATTGACTTACATCACTAGTGGCAATCCTCATAACCAGACAATGCACTGGATGAATCTAACAGATGGTAGGCCATTTACTGTGTCATCACTTAAATAGGGATGAGTGAGTTGTTTCACATTCTTAACTTTTGTCTTGTCTTGTCTTGTCTTGTCGTGTCTTCATTCAGTTTGGCTCAGTTTACCTTCTAAATAATTTCCTGGTTTTCATTTCATCACTTCCCAAAGGTTTTCTGTTAACAGAAAATTCTTAATTGTATTGTAGTCATAATTGTTCTCTACATTAAAAAAAGATCTTTGTTCTCTAAAGTAAAAAAAATATCTTAAATTGTTCTCTTTTTAAAAAAAAAATCTTTGATTGTTCTCTAAATTAAAAATGTCTCCTAGTCAGATGTCTCATATGTTTCCTCAAATTCTGCAGTTGATTTTGATGTGGCCAGGGACACAAAGTGGATCAAAGTCAACGTCGGTCAGAGAGGCTTTTACCGAGTCAGCTACGACATGGCTGGCTGGGAGGCTCTTAACAATGTTCTACAGACAAACATTGATACACTCTCTCCCGCAGACAGAGCATCATTAATTGATGATGTTTTTACACTTGTCAAGTAAGTTCCTATCAGTGGGTGTAATGTGGTGATTTACTGTAGTGTGAATAGTAAGGGAGTTCCTACAGCAGTTATTATTTAGGAGGGACCAGCTCATGGAGTATTGTACAGTATAGTAGTTAGCAGAAATTTTAGATTATATTATTTTTTTTTTTTTAGTATTTCAGCATCAGTTAGTTTACTCAGTAGAGCTAAATAATATTTAATAGAGGTACAGTCGCCTGCACTTGTACCTGGTACAATGGCTGGCGGATTTTGTGAGATGTGGCAACAATGTGTTTGTTTACATTGCATTAAAACTCCCATAATGGCCTTAACGAACCTCGCAATAGTAACCAGACTAAGGATGGTTTTCAACGTCTCACTAAATTCGCCAGCCACAGTACCAGGTATAAGTGCAGTGGACTGTACATAGTAGCATAATATATATTATTTATTTAATTATAAAGGTTATTACACTCTTAACTTGCCTAGTAATGGAGGAGTGGAATGAATGGTTTACAAACAACTTTAATGCCCCCCCCCCCATGTTACTTAATCATGAATCTCATATAAAAATATAGAAGTTTCACAGGAATATAGACAGATAGACTTAATATAGATGAATTGAAAGAGTAATATTTTGTAATTGATATCAGGTTTCCAATTGCAAACTTTAAAGTGCCCTTTTTTTTCTAATGGTACACAACTTTAAGTAGACACTATGGAATAATGGTATTGTATATGGAACCCATTCATAAACATTTTCTTAAGACACGGCCGGTGTATCCTGGTCCCAGAGTTTTATTAAGAGGAATTAAATGTTACTTCAAATGGATTATCATTTATGATAAATTTAGAAATACAAAAAAGGAAAAGGTAGTACTGTACATTTTAATGGTGAGGTCGTGGTGGGTGTGAGTCAGCAGCTATGTTGGTGAGGTAGTGAGGTTGTGGTGGGTGTGAGTCAGCAGTTATGGTGAGGTAGTGAGGTCGTGGTGGGTGTGAGTCAGCAGCTATGTTGGTGAGGTAGTGAGGTTGTGGTGGGTGTGAGTCAGCAGTTATGGTGAGGTAGTGAGGTCGTGGTGGGTGTGAGTCAGCAGCTATGTTGGTGAGGTAGTGAGGTCGTGGTGGGTGTGAGTCAGCAGTTATGGTGAGGTAGTGAGGTTGTGGTGGGTGTGAGTCAGCAGCTATGGCTGGTGAGGTAGTAAGGTTGTGGTGGGTGAGAGTGGCAGCAGCTATGGCTGGTGAGGTAGTAAGTGGGTGGAGTAGCTGGTGAGGTAGTAAGGGGTGGTGTGAGTCAGCAGCTATGGTTGGTGAGGTAGTAAGGTTGTGGTGGGTGTGAGTCAGCAGCTATGGTTGGTGAGGTAGTAAGGTTGTGGTGGGTGTGAGTCAGCAGCTATGGTTGGTGAGGTAGTAAGGTTGTGGTGGGTGTGAGTCAGCAGCTATGGTTGGCCTGTGTTGGTACAAAAGAAATATGGTCCTGCAAGAGTGTTGAGATGTATACAAAGATGATGTATCTTGTACTATAATTTTCTTTGTATTTATTGCAGACAGAGTACAGTATTTTTTAATTGCTAATAACACTACACTTGATGAAACAATTCGTACACCTTTGTTGATCTTTAAAAATAAACAAATTTGCCTTGTTTTCATAATATTCATATAGTTTAAATATATAAACAAAATACATTCTTTTATGGCTGTATTGAACATCTGTGCTCCAGTATATATATTCACTACAGTACACTTCTTTGATTTAGTTATGATTTTCATTTTTGGCATCATAGCCACAGGCTAACACCAAATGGTTGACCAATCAATCTTTGTTTTTGAAGTATTTTTGTGTGTGTGTGTGTGATGCTCCTCCAAATTGAGAGTAACACAGTTTATTGATATGATTGTCTGACACTTATTAATCTTGCTTACCTCATGGCCACTTACTAGGGAAGGATGTCATGTATAAAGTACTGTACTGTGAAAACTGAGGCAGTTCTGAGGTGTCACTTATCTCTGGATCAAAGGGGTTTAGTCTCACCAGCTGATTAAACCTTGTCCAAATCCTAATGTAATTCTTGCTGCGACATTGAGACACAGATTGGAAGAGGGTGAGAACTTGTACCTTGTCCTTAGTTCTGTAGGGACCCATTCTACTGGTCCAAGTTGAGTCCCATGATGCACTGAGTAGCTACAGTAGTTTCCACAACAACTCTTTAATTTTTGGACAACTGGTATTTGGACTTGTAAGTTGTATGTAACCTTCGCAATTTTGTGGTTGGGGTAAATTTTCCATAAGATGCAGTTGCTTCACTTAGTGTTAAGATGTCTGGAGTGGTTTTCTTGGTTTTATCATATATAAGTCATTGAGTTTATTTATTTATATCGTGTTTTGTATACATTTAGAGTACTGTACTGTGATATCCCCGTTAGCCGGAACAATTGGTGCAGAGCACTAGCGGGAATGAGAGATTTCTGTGTAACAAGACTACTCTATCAAAGCCAGAAAAATCTCCCATCCCCGGAATTTTCAGGGTAACGGAGAAATGTTCTCTGGATTTTCCGGAAAATGTGCCCCTCGGAAAATCGTTCCCAAAGTCGTAATTTTCGGGAAAATTCTGGCTTTGGGAACGATTTTCCGAGAAAATTTCAATTCCGGCTATCAGAGAGTTGCGGATTTGAGGGATTCCGGGTAATGGAGATATTAGTGTACTGTATATGACTCCACCTGTCTAGCATACAGGAAGTGGCTAGCTATAGCACCAGAGTACAATACTGTGCATAATTTTCTCATGAAATAATATTCAGTAAGATAATGCTTAATGAGCGAAAATATTCGTCAAAAAGTGCTCATTAGGTCTTGTTTAATAGGACTCATTTTCCCTTTGCATCCCAAGTTAAAAGCTGAGGTTTGTTTAAAGCTAAATTTTTCAGATCAAAACCCACATGGTATGAATTTAGATGTGCTAAAATCCATTTTTTTTTAAATTTAAACCTTAATTTAACAAGATTAAACATTGTTTTAATATAACTATACCTAACAGATCTGAAGGTGATCATTACTTGTGTTGGCATAGCATTGTTGGTTGAAGGTGTAGAGGACATGATGCTCACAAGTTACAGATTAGGATTGGTTAAAGTTACTTGTTTCCCCAGTGAACTAGTACAGCAGATGTTGTTTAGGTAACTTCGTTTTCTTGTTGACCCCTTGTGTATGGGCTCCCCTCTGTGCTGAATAAAACCATCTGGCATTAGCCAAATAAAATTTTAAAAGTGGCGTCCCCATAGTGAAGGGGTTAAGGGTTGGATCGTTCTTTGGTTTTTGTGGGGGAACGTTGGTAGTGTTTTTCTCTCTTCCTTAATTTACCTGCATCAGTGGATATGGTTTATGTTGGATGCATGTCATCAACTGTTTACTAGGGCTATAGATCCTAAAGGATGAACTTGTCAGAGGGATCCATAACACCAGATCTCTTTGGTAAGTGTTGTTTTGGCCTGTGGGTAGATTGTATCAACTTTCACCCTGGGGGATTGTGTCTTTACAGTCCTGGAGGTCTCATGGCACCTCCTTTTTTCTGTTTTAGTGAGTTTTGAATTACTAGAGTTGTATTGGCAGATTGATCCTCAACCCCCCTTTTTTTCTGGCAAAATCCATAGCCATGTGACTTGAATTTTTTTTTTTTTTTTACTTTCCCAGGGGTTTGTGTCTGTCACCTGGAATTAATGTATTTATGATGTACAAATCTGTGTTCATATGATTAATAAATAGAGGATAGAGCCTGTGGTTTGGTGCATTGATTGATGATTCATTACACTCCAGCTGTAAACAAACTACAGTCATGCGCCGGTTAACGTCCTAGATACGTTCTTGGAAACGTGATGTTAACCGAAATGGACGTTGTCCGAAATTACATAAACCTATCGGATTTATTCTAATGAGGGTTCCAGGCACCCAACCCCAAGTTTCCCATTTTACAACCATTTAGACCCACTAAATATATATATACTGTATAATGTTATGGTAAATATCATAAACACACACAGGCATGGCTAGGTTTATTACAAAGTGATGAAAAGTATAATGTAAAGTGGGTAGTCCACAAAACATGTAGCTATGTCTCTCTTTATTTGAGTGCCCCGTCAAAGAAGTCAGTTTTCTCTCACTTCAGGACGCCTGAGTCGTCCGTTTTCTCTTAATCTTAGAGTGCAGTACACCAGACTTATTTATTCCTTAGTAATGACACAGAATTTGAAATTGCAACTGGGATTGCAATTGTTGAGGCAACTTAGATATTTCTGATTACAGTTGGAATATTCAAGATCCATTGTGAGTGATATTTAAAGCTTCAACTGTCTTTATGGTTGGTAAAACTTGTCAAGTCTGTCAGTCTGAGTGGCATGTGTGAGGCCTTGTGTTTGTACAACCGCTAAATATATAAATATATAATGTTATGGTAATTATCAGAAACACACATAGGCATGACGAGGTTTATTACAAAGTGATGAAAAATATACCATCAATTCTGTACAGTGGGTAGTCCACAAAACATGTAGCCATGTCTCTTTATTTGAGTGCCCCGTCATAGGAGTCCGTTTTCTCTCACTTCAGGACGCCTGAGTCGTCCGTTTTCTCTTAATCTTAGAGTGCAGTACACCAGATACTTCTTTATTCCGTAGTAATGACACAGAATTTGAAATTGCAACCCCAATTGCAATTGGAGTTGCAATTGTTGAGGCAACTAGATGTGTCTGATTACAGAAAATGTGTTATTGTCAATTTGTGGGTGAAAGATTTTATCTTCAATAGATGTAGGTTAACATTACACCTGCAGGCAAATGTTTAAAAAAAGCCAAATCAAGGAAGCATATTCCTTTAACACATAATATCTGACCAGTATGGGGAGGATCATCGTGTCTCCGTCAGGGGGTCGTGGAGTGGTGGTCCAGCAGGCGTCACGGATTTTTTTTTGGGGGCGGGGGGGCCACGGACGTATATGCGATCGGACGTTGTTCGGTCGGACATTAACCGGCGCATGACTGTACAGTAATAGGTTTCTCCGCTTCCTTCCTTCCGAGTGAACGATCTCCACACACACACACACACACACACAAACTGGTGGCTGGGCAGTTAGATATTAGCCCAATCAACCAAAGGGCTCTTATTAACAGAGATATCTGGCTGTGGGCTCAGCCAGAAAAAAGGATTTATGATCAATCGCCAATTTTTAGATTCAAGCAAAATTAACGAAAACTGTAAGCAGTTTTTATGCAGGTGAATGATAGGGAAGTATGAGAATCCATTGATTTATAAAGACCAGACATAGATGGCATACAAGATCAAACAGCACTCTGGGCATTGTGAAATACAATCCTGGATCACACGAGTTTCTTGTTTTATTTATTCAAGGTGTTGTTATATGGTTATATCTTTGATGTGCATATCTTATGACATATAACCAATATATTCTGTATGACACTTCTGTAACAGTGACAAAAATGTGAGTTTATTGCCTGATGTATATAATATCTATATTTGGTACTAGAGTAATGTGCAATAGATTAGGGTATTCCTAAATAGTGAATTTATCATGCACAGGAGTTTACTGTTTCCAGTTAAGATTATATAATAATTATTTTCCCATAATATTAACTCAAACTTACCAAATATTTATTCTTGGTGTTTAAATCACTCCCCAGAATGGATATAAAGATAATCAGACATGTTACTTTATATGTGTCATCCTCAACATAAAGATGTCACAAAAAAATTGGAATTAAAAATGTGATCTTTATGTTGATATGATATAAGTGGAGCAATGTATTGTATTTCCCAGGTTTTTTTTTATAGCTAAACCTATGTGCCCATTGTTCCTTCCCTGACCCTAACTTCAAACTCTCCACAGTCCTTCACCAGTGTCTTGCATCATAGTGTGTTCCTGAAAGAATTTAAGAATCTGGTACCCTTCCTACTTTTCTGCTGTACCATAGAAATAATAAAAAAAATTCTCTTATCTCAGCTTAAATTTCAAGATACCTGTATCTGAATTTTATAAACAGCCTCCAGTAAGTCCAAACTGTTTACTTACTCTAGGACTGTATTCGAATTTCCTTCTTTATTGATCAAGTCAAAAGTGTAGGTATCTCATCTCTTCACCTATATTAAATAGAACCTGATCCTTTTTATTGTACTGTACCAATATTGGAACCTTCCCAGTCTTAACCCCAACCTCAGCCTTCCTCCGACCAAGTTGGCCTACCCTCGCCTAGCCCTAGGTGGTACCGGATTCATAACTTCTGCCGTTTTCATCCTTTAGGGGTCGTCTTTATGACAGTCCCACCCTCGTGCAGTAAGATTTCTCCCCCTCCTGCCTTACTTTTGAGTTCAGTTTTCTTTTATCCAGCATTTTCAGAGATCCCAGAAGGTTTAATGGTCATGCTCAGGTTTATGCCTTGCTTACTGGGTTTTTATTTTATTATTATCATTATTTTTTTATTGCATGTTAAGCTGTTGGAATTTTCATGAGTAAATAATTATGTTATATGACAAGATGATTTTGATTTCAATATATTGTATTTTATTAAATATTTAGTTCTTAGTTTCAATAATCTACTCTTTTGTGCAGTAAAATTTCAAGTCTATCTTTTATAACTTTTAAGTTTGGTGTATGATATATCATCATACCTGTATCTTTGCTTATTCTTGAGTCTTTACCAAATTTTTCATTCTCTATCTTCATAAGAGTTTGTTGTCTATGGCTGTTATAAGAAATATAATGCTAAATTGTTTTAGATTAGAGTAGGGACGTCATAGAACAAAAAATCCAGAAATTTATTACAAACTTTAATGAAGTTTTGGTGACATGTTTTGAGATTATGATAAAGTCCACTTTTTAAGGTTTTGAAACCTGAAATATAAGAACATTATTTAAGAAAATAAAAGGAGGAAACTCTGAATTTGCTACATCCATTGTTTGGGACGAACCCAAATTAATACCTAATATTTGTGATTTATTTTATCAGTTTAGTCTTTGAGCTAACCAGAAAGTTGCTATTAAAGATAAGATCAACGTGACTTCTCCTTATTTCATATTGGCGATCATTTTGATGAAAACTGAATCACAGTTCTGAAGTAAAGAGCTGTGTCTGGCTGTATACTGTACTTCAAATTAACTAACACTGTGAACACTTACCTTACACTGTATATGTGTGGAATTTTCAGTAGCCAGCAAGATACAAGAGAATGATTCCTTTGTTACCAAAGGGATACCAAAATGTAGTGAGAAAAGAAAGTAAAGTACTGTAGTGTACATACAATCCAATTCTTGGATAAGTCATCAAAAGTATTACCAGAATGTTCCCAAATGTGCCATATCATTAAACTTTTCTGTGCAGGATAAACCCCCAGACCCTTATTATGGAGTGTCCATTATTCTGGAAAATTTCAGATTTGTCAAAACTGATCTTAAACCTACCATTTTAATATTTATTAAAACTTGAGCAACTCCCAATGAATATTTAAATGTAAGAAAGATGCTTATTTTAAGTATATTGGTTTGCTGTCAGTTTATATATTATATTAACCATATTCCAATACAAAGTAAATGGACTTAAACTGGATCGCAAAGTTTCATAAGGAAAAGATGTACAGTATGTAGTTTAATAGAAAAGAAAAGATGTATTAAATCAGGGCTTTCACATTTCCTGAGTACTTCACATCCAATGTATTTAAGTCACAAAGCTGATTTATGAGTGATATTTTTATCTCCATTCTCTCTTCTACTTTAATACATAATACTTTTCATTTGTGTACAACCTCTTACCACTTCCCATGGACATTTCCCCAGCCTATAATAACTGATTCTAACTTAAGCCATCTCCTATGTGGTCTGCAGTAGCTTCCCCTTTCATGCCTTCCTTAAGTAAAATATCTTGACCAGCCCATCGCTCACCATACACTCCATGTGCCAATACCATCTCAGTATGCTATCGTCCATGAGTCATTCCAAATACTCATTCTCCCCTCATGTAATTCTAAATAATTTCATATGTTTTCTTAACTAATGTAAAAGAAATGTGTATTTCAAATAATCTAACATCATTAGTTACAGTGTAGTTAACTCAAACTTGTTGAGAATTATCTCAAAGACTAAGACCAAAAATTATAATTTGAGGCTGGGATACGATATAAATATACTGTAGTTAGCTTGATTCGGTTCTAAAAGTACTTCACAATTTTCTGTACTGTATATGATGATGGTTTTGAAAGACTAGTACAGTATGAGGCTTTACTGTACTATGTGAGATAACTACAAAATATTTGTCAAGGTTCTAATGAATATAAAGAAGACAATTACTTAAGAATGGTGAAGAACTGTTGCTGCTCAGAATAATATTTTATATCATTTACAGCTAGGAAGACATCCTCAGTTTAATAAGAGTACAGTATATATCTCCACATTAACTCACTACTTGTTCATTCTAGAGTTCTTACCAACTGACCAAGAAGGATGTCATCCCGTAGGAAATATTTGATATCTTAAGGAATTGATATACAAAATTTTAACCTTTACAAGTGATGTTGAGATTTACTATAAATCCATAATTCATGAGACTGTACTGTAAATTTTACTGCAGGAAAAGATAATTTTTATACACATTTTTAGAATTTTTATAAATAATTTTTTAAATCTTCTGGGTTCTTCAAGGCCACCTGTGCAGTTATTTTATTCATATCGGAGAAAAATACAGTGTCAGAATGCTTGCTTGGCTTATTCCAGATACTATGTTTATATTGGCCCCAAATGTAAGCCCTCTACTTTTTTTTCCCAGTCCATTCTGCACTACCATTCAGAACTGGTGAGAAGTTGATATATATATATTCATTTATCCCACATGTATCTTTATTCATATATTTTTGCTTTTTTTTTTTAACTCCCCCATATATGTGTGTGTGTGATACTGATGAGGTTAGCCATTTATGAGTTAGAGACTGTCTATTGATGATCATAATACTCATTACTTGTATTGATATAATTAGCAGCCACGATCTTTACTAAGACTCATTGCCTGGTATCAGAGTCCTGGAAACAGTAATTGATTTATGACAGCTACTGCCTTGATAATCTATATCTAAACATTTTAATTCTTGGCAAGATTGGAGTTAGCTGTCATAAATTGTGTGTGAAGTTTTATTGATTGAATTTCATATTATTGGCTCACAAATTTGGGAACCAGTTTCTTTATAGCGGTAACTGGAAGACACTTCTGTTCATTCTCAACTGTAAAGTAGATTTAGCTCTATATTGTATAGTTGTAAATCATATAGTACTGTACTGTACTGTACTGTATTGTAAGATTTTTATTCTATTATCATCTCAAACTCATGAATGGTAATCTGTATCGTAATGCCTTACATTAATAAAAATGCATGAAAGCATATTTACTTCCATTGTTTAAAATCAGAATTGTATATACCCGGTACCTATAAATATATACAGTATATATACCATATATATTGTATATGTATGTACAGTATATATATACGCTCTGAGGTATGGTGGTACAGTAAGTCCTGCCTAATCTGCAGGGTTACATTCAGAAGAACCAGATGGATTTTAAACCTCATGAATTACACATTGTACCTGTGAAAGATTTGGGGTTATTTTTTGGGCCTCAAAGTAATTTCCCAAAATTTTTAATTTTCACTTAATACATTAAGTTAACCTGGAAAATATTAAATTTGGAAATACACTGGTGACAAAAAAGAAGAATGTCTATTCATGATTTGATATAATTGTATAGATTCCACTTTGATTGTTTACATTACACATCCCCGACCTGACCTCTGAACTACAAGCACCACCTATCCCATGCATTTCCTGATGGATTAGCATAGTTGTCATATGTATGTTTATATGACCAACCAACACAACTCTAAACTATACTTTTCTGAGAGGGAGAAAGAGAGAGACTTCCTTTTCTCCTCCTCCTCTCTCTTTCTCTTTTTGTCCTCCCTTTTTTCCCTCCTTGTAGAATGAGGATGATAAGAAAGAGGGAGGAATAAGATGTGAAACTTTATTCCTCTTTCTTAAGGAAAAGAAAAATAAAGGGAGAGAGAAAATGATGCAGTGAGAATGTTGTGTCCATCCCAATTTTTACGTCTCAATACAATTTTATTCCTAAAATTCTTGGTTACTTATCAGAAAAAATGTAAATAAGTTCATACACAATTCTGTATATTGTTAGTATCTGTATACAGTACTGTATAAAGGATTTTCCGTACATTGCACACAGTGGTCAGCTGTTTTTATTTATTTTTTAATTAATTTCCACCACTCATAAGCTTCATAGCCATTTGGGCAGTCATTCTGTTCTTTGTTATGACCTCCATTGTCCGGTGTTAGTACAGGCAGAAACTGGAGTACAGTACCCAGAGAAAGCCTGCTGTGTTTGGTAGTGAGGGTCACCCTAGATAACACCCTTTCTCACATCTGACCCAGGCCAGGGATTTGAATCTGTGACACATTAGTGAGGGGCAAGTGTGTTACTCCTGTTCCACCAACACGCTGTTGATGGTTGTAAACAATGCATTACTCAACAGATATTACAACTAAATTTTCATGGTTGCTTTACTTTTAACAACATAATGAAGCCATGTTTTATTCATTATGTAGTGTAAACTTGAATATCTTCTACCTATTACTGTTATGATTTCCCAATGAAAATATTTTCCAGAGTATTTTATAGGTATTTTCCAGTGTATCATACTTCATGTTTTGTAGCACAGTTGAGTGAGCCACAGATGGGAGACTCACAAATAAAATATCTGCGGATTGGGTGGGACCCACCATGTATTGTTTTTACAGTCTTGTATGTCTAAAATAACTTAAGTTGTGTAAATTCAAAATGGAACATGGTATATTTATCAAATACAAGTAAATAGTGCACTAGCATATTGTAGAACATTTTGGGGTGTTGGAAGTTTTATTATTTAAGGCCTTAGGGAGCCTCAGAAGAGACTTATGAGATGTAACAGTAGCAAGTACCTCATAGGCAGAACCTGCCATATCCTGCAAGATATATAATACCTGACACAGTAATGGACAAAATACTGTTGCAAGCAGTGAATGCATTGCAGCCTTATTCACTGTCAGATTCAAATGAATGTGTTTATATCCCATTCAGGTACTGTGCTGGTAGGGATAGTCAAATTAGTCTCAACTTTTCATTTTATTTGTTCAAAATTTACTAATCGCATTAAATCTGCTCGAGCTCTCAGTTCCCTGCTGTCAGCTTGATTATAGTCTGGTGGGTCTAATTAAAAGCATAAATTTTATCATAATATTTTCCAGTTTTGTCACTTGCTGTTACAGTCATTTGGGAAATTGTGATACTGTACCAGTATTTGGGCATTTATTTATGTTCAGTATCCATTGTTACATTCTTTGTATAGTCACCTGTCCTGTTGTAAATTGAGTTTATATTTTTATAACCTAAGCCAGCCTTGAACAGCTCCTGAATACGCTCACTGAATATTTGAGGGCTAAGGACCTTGGGAGGTCATAACCTAAATACATTACAGGTACACAATACATGTAGACAGAGCCAAAGTGTGTCTCACTGTACTGAAAGTGAAACGGGCCAATCACCTGTTACTTAACGATGAGAGCAATGTACATATTGTACAATGAAATACTTGGCTATCCATTGCGGTACAGTCGCCTTTCATTTATACAGTACCTGGCACAGTGACTGGCACAATTTTTTGAGATGTGGCAACTCTTTGTTTGTTTGCATCATATTAAAATGTCCAGAATGGTCCTAAGGACCTCAGAATAATAGCCAAACTAAGGATGGTAGATAAACATTTCACAAAGTTGTCACATCTCACAAAACACACCAGCCACTGTACCAGGTAAGAGTGCAGGTGACTGTACCTTCCAGGGAATATTGAAGTCTTAGAGCTATTGATATCTGTAGAACCTTTATTTAGAGGTTGGTGGGTGTGGAGGGGTGGGTAGCCTATATTTGGGGATAAGCAGGACTTATTTGTATACCACATTGTCCTCTGCTACAACCTGTCTTGAGATGGCCAGTTATCAAGCCCTCCTCACCATATAGGGATCTTGCTTGTCCTCTGCAGTAGAAGAGAGAAAAATATACAGTAGCGCCTCAAAATAAGACCTTACATACAGGACTGACCAACTCCTAGTGCAAAAATCATGGGGATGAATCAAGGGCAATACTTGTTCAGCTACACTACTCAGGCTTTAAAACTGTTTCCTTCTTTCTGGAAAGTGAAAATTTTGGGGTTAAAAATAAGCTCTAAGAGTTCAAGGAATTCAGCCTTTACACTAATTCAGTACACACTAAGGTTTCTCAAGAACATAACTCCATTGTCTTACTGTACTTGTCTTCTATCTCAGGAGTTATGCTTCTGAGTTTGGGTTATACTAAAGACAATCATTTGATGTATTACCTCCTCCCCTCTATTATCCTAAGCTAGTATTTCTCAAGTTTTTCACCAGGCCTTATAAGCCATAGATGGAAGTTTGGAGAATGAAATCCAATTTTATGCATGAGGAGATAAGTGAAAGATCAGAATTCTCTCCTCCCTTTTCCTGTAGATACTATAACTCCCAAATTTTTAAGGAACTAAAAGCTGCAGATTTCTTTTTCTTCATGTAGCCAGAATCTGTACAGTATACAGTATTACCCCGCTTTACCCGGTTTCACTTTCCGCGATTTCTCATTTACGCGGTACCTTGCCAGAACCGGACTTTCACAGACTCACTTTCCGCGGTGCATCTACTCATATACACGGTGAAGTATTATTTTTATTTTTTTTTTTTTTAGCTCATAAAATTCATACAAATTACTCGGCCAGAATATAATTTACATTGCTGGAATTCTTACAATATGATGATCATTTTGAATATAAACATCAAGGATTTTGCATTAGACATACAAATTTTAGATCTAATGTAATAATTTGGTTTACACAAAGCAAATATTTTATCGTTTGTGCAAAATATATGAAGTTTACATTCAAAATATTCCCTGACCTGCAAGGAATCCAGAAACGTCAATTATATTATCCTAACTTTAGTCTGAGGTATTATTTATTACTAAACGTTAAAATCTAGTGTTTTCACCCAAACATTTCTCTGGTAGGGAGGGGGGTGGGGGGGGAGGGTTGGGACCGACTGACCCAGATGGCGTGAGTGTGAGGAGGGGGGGGAGAGGCAAGGTGGGGTACTTTGATTGACAGATAGTGTCCTTGAAGAATATTTCTTTGTTTATTTACTGAAGATATTTGTTTTAGCTCATAAAATTCATACAAATTACCCGGCCAGAATATAATTTACATTGCTGGAATTCTTAAAATATGATGATCATTTTGAATATAAACATCATGAATTTTGCATTAGACATACAAATTTTAGATCTAATGTAATAATTTGGTTTACACAAAGCAAATATTTTATCTTTTGTGCAAAATATATGAAGTTTACATTCAAAATATTCCCTGACCTGCAAGGAATCCAGAAATGTCAATTATATTATCCTAACTTTAGTCTGAGGTATTATTTATTACTATACGTTAAAATCTAGTGGTTTCACCCAAACATTTCTCAGAGAGGTAGGAGCTAGTGAGCTGGGAAGAGGGGGGGGGGTGGGATTTGAGTCCATTATTTGAATGGACATTAACCTGGAGACTGTATTTCTCTTAAATATTAATTGTGTGAGCATACTATCATGAAATTAAGATGTTATTTTTACTACAACATAGGTATTGTGTCAGAAAAAGGGGAGTTTGGGGGTCGGGCCAGTCTCTATTGGAATTAATGCCATATGTTCTGTTGTTCACTTTACGCGGTTTTTCACTTTCCTTTCACTTTCCGCTGTACCCCGTGGGTTCAATTGACCGTGTAAATGGGGGTACTACTGTCTATGGTATCTCTTGATTTCCTTTTTCTAACTTTTCTTCTCGTGGTCACTATGATGGTCACAGTCAGTACAGTACATGCAGTCCTTGTTATTCATGTCTTCTGTATTCTCTATTCCCCATTTCATCATCGTAAAAAATATATAAGTAAAAGAAAAAAATACTGTACAGTATAGTGATAAAGAATATTTCACTCATTTTATACGGTACAAATACTGTATGTAAAAATAATTGTTTTTAAAAACATGCACAAAACCTACAAAGCAAATGATGTAATTAAACTTTATGGTGCAAGAAGTTACTGTATACACAAATAAAGAGTGTGTATTGGAAGAGCCAGGGATATACTGTATGTGTTAATTCATAAAATGTCCATCGGAAAATGATCGGTAAGTTACCAGCAAGTGACAGTTGTTCTTGCTCGAGAAGAAACTAGGCAGTAAAAAGAAAATTGTGTAAATGTTTATCTGATACAGTACTACCAAAGCTGGCATAAACTAGGATGATCGTTACTTTAATACTGTAGCAGTGTAGAACCTGGGAAGGATAGGGGCTATTTTCAAGGTAAGAAACAACAAAAACTTTCTGGAATAACCAGTTCAGTTCTTAATTTGGTAAAATATTACCTTGCACTCTTATCAAGCACATGCAGGCAATGACAAGCAAGTTCCACATATGAGGTGCTTAATAGTAGTATTGTACCGTACATCTCACAAGTCTCAGTCATCTTCTTGACTATAAAACAGGTTTTCTTTCTTCAGTCCTCCATTTCGTAAAAGTATATTCATTGTGATTCTTTATCATTTTATGAATTGCTCTTTATTGTAAAACATTGGTACTGTAATGAGCACAGTTGTCCAGGATAAACTTTTACAGTATTATACAATATTGGTTTGTAGTCAATAAATAATAGTATGATTTTCAATTTAACAACAGCAGATCAGCCCATACTCAGGTTTGCACTAGTAATGTAGTTTATTAATTTATTGTTTCCTGTGTTCCATTTTTCTGTAAAGTTGATGATCTTAATATGTTGAGTCACTTACTTGAGGGACATAAATGGTTAGATAAGTTTCTTGGGTACAGAAGTGTATTCTTAAGATATTATCTGGACACTATTGGATCAGGATAACAGACACTGTTCTGTCTCTTATGAACCAGAAACCTTAATTTAGTTTGTATGCACAGTTTCATATTTATTTAAGGTGACAGAAAAATATTTGATCATCAACTTCCTTTTAATTGCATGTGATTCTTTGAGATTTACCAAAAGTAAATTTGTTTAATAAGAAAGTAATATTGGTCTGGTAGCACTCACAGATGATGTAATCATTTCATCAACAGAGAATAGTATACTTAATTATACATGATTTTTTTGTACAATAAAGCTTCATTAATCTGAACTTATCAGGAGCTAAGATAATCATGAATTATTACAGTAGATACAGTGCTGGATGTCACCAATCCCTGAACACGTGTGAGAAATATCATTCCTGTAAAACAAATTTCCATATTTTTTAAGAGAGCATTAACTTGATACAATAGAGTCAGACAAACAACCACTTCTTCAATAACATTAGAATATGATAAAGTATAGCATCTGGACACACACACAACCACAACATATGCTGCCGATATATCTCAGATTGTGGACTGATTTATCGACAACAGTATAGTACTATATTTTGTTTTTGTATTGACAGGTTAATGTCATTCTTTAGCTTTTTATTATTTTTTAAAGATCATAGTATGGATGTAGGTTAATATTGTGAGTGCTCCAGCCTGCAGGTACTGTATATCAGATTGCCATTTTAGAGTCAGGTGCTTCAGATATCTTTTTGTAGAGTCAGGTGCATTAGATATATTTTTGTAGAGTCGGGTGCATTAGATACGGTATCTATTATGTAGTCAGGTGCATTAGATATATTTTTGTAGAGTTGGGTGCATTAGATATATTTTTGTAGAGTCAAGTGCATCAGATATCTTTTTGTAGAGTCTGTAGGAAATCTGACTGTCTAAGTGCAATGAAAGAAAGGTGAATAAAGGTAATAAATCACTTGAAACTGATTGAAAAAATTGATAATTTCTTTCATTGAAGTTAGATAATGAGACACTCCTTTCATTATCCATCAGAACAGGTAAATAGTGGGATGAACATAGTAGATGAAAATATGGAAAAAAAAAATCTTCCTGAAAATTCATAAGGTGTGTGCGACTTATATTTTGTCGTGATTAGTTAATGAACACAAAATATCCTTATAATGTACAGGTATACCCAAAGTTCAGTGAATCATTTGAAATTTCATGATTTGCAATAGTTTCTTGAGTTGAAGAGAGTTAGGAATTCCTGTTGAAAATGGACTTACAGAAATACAGGTATTAGATTGTTGTTTTGATACCGTATAGGTGGTACTCTTGACTACCACATAGTACACACACACATACAGACACACAAACCAGCCTGACTCATTATTTTGTGCCACTCGTGGTACTCACACTCAGAACACATACAACACTCTAGTTTAACATACCCTAGAATTTCCACATGAATTGACCAATGCAGATACTGTAGGTGTTTTAGGAATGGTACAAGATAGACCAATTGGGTAAAGTGCCTGTTTTCAGTCTGTGGTTTTCCTTCTCTCATGGCAAGTTCTTGGTTTTGTCTTCAATTCATTATCAAAAATACTCAAGCTTGAATGAATAATATTTCCTAAATTTTAATATTTTCACCACTTAAGCATCTTCTTCGTGTATGAATATGAAATTATATAATATAAATTGTTAATAAGTTACTTTTCATTATAAAATATATATATATATATATATAATATTCTGTATATATGTATTTTTATAATGATACTGCATATATTGTTGGGTGGATAAATATTAAGTATTTTATATTAAATTTCTTACGATTTGGGTTCGGGTAACAATATATACTTGATGGTATTTAAGATAAGCAATTTTCACTTTATATACTGTATAGGAGGACCATGTGCAAATGTTGGCCCAAAACAAATCCTGTAAATATTGTGTTGACGTGTTGTAGCGGTGGAGACTGACCAGGCACTCAGTCTTTCACAGATGTTTCATATTTTTCCTTTACTTTTTATGGTACATTTACAGGCTATATTATATACATCTCTTCTAACTGCAATTACAGTATAATTTCTTTCTATGTGCATGTAAGATTTTTTTTTAATTAGTCTTTTTCTATCTTTACTATATATTTCTATTTGCTTTATTTATTTCTATGATGGATTGAGAGTTACTTAGCCTAAATAGCCTTGGTGGGGTACAACAAGGGGATAGACAGTATATAATTTCAGTGTGTAAATTGCTTCCAGTTTGTGCATGGTCCTCTTGTTTCTTTCCCAAATTATTTACATTTGCAATTATTTATTCCTTAATCCCCCAAAAGATTATAAAGATCAAATTTGAGTTTCATTTTTTAGAATTATAAATATCTATTATATGATTATTATTATTATTATTATTATAGTTGAATGTAGAATGATAAAAGTCTATATATAGTCACAGATTTTGTTTAGTGTTTTTAATAGTACGTATTTCATGATGTTTATTGTTTGAGTACAGGTTAATTAAATTGTTGCATTATCAGTACCAGTGTGTAAAGCTAAAAGATATAATACAGGTACTGTACTTGTTATAAGGTAGATGTGGTACAGGTGATGATCTCGCTCTTAATTATTAGGGCCGGCACCGTCAGTGCTACGGTTGCACTGGATCTGAGTCTGTACCTGAAGAAGGAAACAAAATACATCCCCTGGCACACAGCTCTTGGACACTTGTTCAAATGGGTCAGGCTCATATTTAATTATCCAGCGCATACCCTGATGCTCGACTACATACACACACTCGTCAGACCTCACTATGAGACGATAGGTTGGAATGACACCGGTACTCATCTAGAGAGGTAAGAATTACTATATTCATGGATTTTAACCTAATCTCACAGAATTTGTCTAGTTCCCTGATTGCCAGTTGAGAAAAAAACATAGTACAGTATTCAAATTTGTATCCATGCAGGAGTATGTACAGGAAAAAAATCCAGTGAGTCCTCCATCCCATCCCTGAACCCTGAGACTTGTGAACCTGAGACATTACACAATCTATCGGTCTAATAATGAGTGATGTCTTGGGTTCAGGGATGGGACAGACAAGTGACAATTTTTTTTCTTGAATGTACATCCATTACAGTTTTGTTTCTGGTCCTTGAAATTAAAAAGTACAATTCAAAATATTGTCATGAAACTTCTTATGCATCTGTGTCATATATATATTGTAATGAAACTTCTTATGCAGCTGTGTCATATACTGTATATGTTTGTTGTGAAGGTCACAATTTAGGGTTAAAATATTGACAGTCAAGATTTTGGATACAACAGAAAGATTGATGTGAAAGGGTATCTACAAAATATATTGATCCCATTTAAGTACAGTAATTACAGATATTTTTATGCTCACATGAGCCCGATTACTGTCTGCGAAGTTGAATTAGGTACAGAAATTTTCATTTGCCAACCCACTGGTGCCTTGGACCCCTTTGCAAGTGATTCCTGCATGGCCAGTTTGCTGAGCTCTATCTTGGGACAGTTGGATCAGTTTCAGTTGCATATGATGACAGGAAAAACACACATTTGCCATACTAGCCCAAATGTTTCCTCTCATGGCAGTCACCAAAGGTTCCAAGAACATTTCTGGAGGTGGGGGAAGGTTCACATGCTTGTCCCATTAGGAGAAATAGTTCCTCTGATGGAAATACAGTATGGGACAAGGCACAGCAGCAGTTAAGACTGAAATGCACAACACACAAGTCTTCCTGCCAATTCTATTCCACCTCAGGGATTGTTCCCTGCGAGGCGCAGAAAGACCTCCATAACAGATAAAGAATCCAGCTACTGTATATCTGCAACAGAGATGAAGACAGCCCATCACAACCTCCTTCAAGACATGTTAATGAACAATTCAACACCAACTGCTAAAGAAGTCAAACATGCCATCTCATCATACCTCCAAGAACAACTCCTCACAAAGCATATGCAAGAATTTTTGAGTGCTGGAGTGGCCTGGGAACTCACTGGATCTGAACTTCATAGAGAATAAGTGGAATCAGCTGAAACACAAGCTGTCAACACAGAACACTTCATCAGAACCTCGCCTACAGAAAGATCAAGCAAATCTGGACAATAGAGATGATTTGTGATCTATTGCAAATTGACTGGTGTTAAAATATAAAGGAAACATGATAAAATAATATATTATAAATATTTATATACTGTATGTTTTATTGCATTTAAGTTATCGCTAAGGTATTTTTTTTGTTTAAAGTCATATAGAAAGGTTACAAGGATCCATATTTTTTGGGGGGAAAATGTAGAGTATTTGTGAGCCTCAGTTCAAAGCCTGTCATAACTCAAGGTCAGTTAACATTATAACTATAATATTTCTCAGATTGCTGCGGTCAGAGGTGTTATGGGCAGCTGTCCAGTGTGGTAACTCTCATGCCATACAGGAAGCACAACAGCGGTTCTCCAGCTGGCGCACCAATAATGACTCAATCCCTCCTAATCTCCGATCTGTTGTCTACAGTACCGGAGTGAGGTTTGTGGTAATTTATGTTTTCCTTTTAGATTTTAGTTGTGACAGATGAAATGAGCTGCACAGCACCTCTTTGTCCATATTTCAAATAGTGGAAGTGGGACCTATAAATGGCAGTGCAAAATATAACACATTGTTGAATGAGTCTTTATTTCAGTACATAAGGAGGCCGTTTGGCCAACACTATACTGTATTCACATCCCAGCTGTAAAGTTAAACACACACTCACATTTTGGTGAATTTGGGATTTCAAATACAGTTGGTAAATGGCAAAGGTATATTCATCCAAAGGTCCAGAACATTGAGTCGAGAGATCGAGTAAAGGGGGTACAGTGGTCAGGCAGCAAGCAGGCAGGCGCAGGTCAGGTCCTCGAGCTTATTCTCCCATGTCCAGCTTCATAATAATATATACTGTACACTGTAGTCAAATTAAAAGAATTATTTAAACAAATTTTAGACTTTCCTCTTTTACTTATGTATTTCTTTTGTGATATATGGAAGACAGAGTTTAACTTTTGTTTTAGCATTTCTTAACAATACAGTATATCCTTCAGATATGGCACAGAGGAAGACTGGCGGCACTGTTGGCAAGTCTATAACTCCTCCTCAATCCCAAGTGAGAAAGGGCTCATGTTGAAGGCCATGGCTCAGACTCGGGATCCTTGGCTCATGCAGCAGTAAGTATACATTATTATGTTATTGAGAAGGTTTACTGGAAATAGTGCCAACTGTACATTGTTTTCCATTTATGAGGATGATAATATTTCTAATGATGACAACTCTATTCCTGTGACCAGATACTTAGAGTACACATTAGATGCCACAAAGATCCGGCCTCAAGACGTGATGACGGTTCTAAAGCAAGTCAGCAAAAACCCAGGTGGAAGGCTGTCAGCGTGGCGAATGGTCCGCCAACACTGGTCACAGATCTCGCAGCTCTTTGGTCACGGGTCATTTACCATGGGGGCAATCATCAAGGCCGTGACTTCTCCTTTCACTTCATCGTTTGATCTGGGAGAGGTTAGTGCATTATTTCCAATAATTCATAATCTTTTGACAACTGCTGTATAACTCTAGTAGTACTTGTGTTACTGAAGATAGTTCCTCGTATGAATTTGCCCCTCTTTAGGTTTAACCCCTTTGCTACATGATGCTACTTCTAATAGTTTATCTGGCCAATGCCAGATGATTTTATTCAACAAAGAGGGGAACTCATACACATGGAGTTAATCAGTTAATGACAAATCAAAATACAATACAAACAGCTTGGAGTGCAAGTTTCTACACCATGATCTACTTCATCACTGCCATTTCTCACAATTTTATTTCAAACTCTACATAGCTAAATACTGTACCGTACATCATAATCAAGAGAGGAAGGCACCAACTTCTCCACACTTGTGTCCTCGCTCTCTGGGGGTATTTAAAATCACAAGTTTATTCTATGAAGATAACAGATTTGAAACATCTCAAATGGCAAATTCAAGAAAATGTCTGCTCCACCAGGCCTGAAATGTTAAAGGAACATTCAAAGAAACTATATATTTTTTTATAAATATGTTTTGAGATTGGTGGAAAACATTTTGTACAAATTTTCCTGTGATATGTGACTGTATGGACACCCTGTGTGTAGTGTATGTTTGCGATCTGTAAGTTTTCAAGTCGAATCTGTCTGATTTTTAATGCACTAGTTTATAGTAATAACAAGGTTTAGTTATAATGACACACATTTTTTAATACAAACTTTATTTTGAAAATAAATCAACATATCACATAAATCAAAGCTTAGCTCTGTGATCAACGATAGAGAAATAAAATTTTATGAAAAAAAAATGTAATGTGTGTGTTATTCAAAGCTAGTTAACCTACAATTACAGAAATAATATTAACAACTACAGAAAATAGCATTTCTTTGTAGCTAGGAAGTTCTTTACTTGAGGCAGACATTATCTTTGAAATTACAACTGAGGTAAATTTTCCTGCCTGCTTTAGTGTCTGGTGTTAGAAATGCTCCTCATATGAGGCTCTTCCATACATTAAGCATAGTGCTCTTTTAAACAGTTTTCTATTTGTGGCTATTCCTGTTGCTGGGCCATTCAGCTTTATGAAGGTCAACATTTCTATGGTGTCAGCAGTTGTGGTGTCTTGTTCTTTAATTCTAGATTTATTTCTGATGAGTCTATCTACTACTGACCCCCAGGACTCAACAATAGCTTCAGATATGGGAAAGGAAACGACTGAAGATAAATCCTTAACAGACTGTAACAACTGATAGTTATTTCCCCACACAAACTGATCCATCACATTATGAAACAGTTTTGTAGCATAATTAAGAACCTCCATAATTTTACTGTCTTTTTTGATGAGCTCAGTCCTGTGCCTGGGATCCCAACACAAATTTACAGCTTTACTAAGTTCTTCAGACATATGTTTATCAATATGCAAACAGGTATACTGGCCATCCATGGCCATTCCACTCAAATGGTTTCTTATATAAGGCAAAGTAAACCCCACACTCTTCAAACAATCTAACATATGACTAGTCATAGACTTCCCTGTTCCTTCACCAATAGCCATATGTTGCAAGTATACATCTTTATTGATATTGGTATTATTGATGTCCCAAATGGGTATTCTGATGCCCATAACGTGTCTCTTTCTGTGAGACGCTGTCATCTTATCTGCTATCAAACCAAATGTTAAGGAAGATTCAGTCACAAATGATACAAAAGTATTTTTAACAACCTCATACACAAGACTTAAGAATAACCTAGGAAACTCATGAGAGTGATTCTTAACACCAACATTACCACCAGCGGCATATATTTCAGTAATGAGTCCTTCATAATACCGATATGAATTACCATTTTTGTATGTAAAATAAGCTGCTGATGCACAATTTAAACCACATTCTTGTGCCTGTTTTTTAATAATTTTCTCTTCAATATGTACTGTATTTTACAAGTTAAAACAGTGTTTTTCTCATGACTTTTAGCAGTTACGTCTAAGTGATTCTTTCAGATGGGAAAATGAAGATGGAATCTCATTCATCAGTGTAAATTTAGTGCCATTATTAAAATCAAAGAGAATTATAGATTTACACGTACTGCACTGTAGTCCAGTTTCATCTGGTGTTACTGTACAACAAAACACGGTAGAAGAGAGAAAATTGTGTCAATTGATCTAGCAGCTGGTAACAACTCAGATATCTGTGTGGACATAAGTCTAGGTAGCTCTTCTTTACCCGGCTGTAGAGACAATTTTGTATGATCAGTACGACGAGGTTCATCTTTTTGAGATTTTGAATCAATCAAGGAACTAATTTTACTATCCAAACTGATCAGCATAGTCTTTAAATTATCTTGCTCAGCACTTTCATGAACTGTTGTTAATTTCTTGCTAGCACTGGCACCGAAAGATAACCGAGATGAGTCTTCAGATGAATGACGCTTTACTCGGTGACCTGTATCACTACTAGCATCCTTAAGCCCTGTCTCCATATGCTGTATTTTCTCCGATTTAATGGTTTTGACAGAAAACAAATTTCCAATGTCCTGACTAGTTGCAGATGAGCATTTCAATGCATTGGTATCGTGCGCACGTTTTATGTGTTGGTCCAGGTTTTTCCTCGGTAAGGTTTTTGAACAGTAATTGCAAACCACTTTTTCTGTCCATGATGATAATGCCATTGATGTTTTTTTAATACAGGCACCCCCCACGTTACGGAAAGGTTCCGTTCCCGGAAAATTGACCGTATCGCGAAACCTATTTCCCATTGACTTCCATTATAAAACTGGAGATGCGTCCCTAAGGAATTTTTTCGGCCCCAAAAAAGTAATTCAAGCACTTTTATTAATGAAAATAAACATTTATAAACACATACAATACAGTACATTAAATAATTTATGATATACCTTCTTAAAACACCAATTCAGGGGTTAATATTGCATAATATTGCATTATACAGCTATGTGTATGTTTATGTGAGTGCCCCGTCATTGGAGTCTGTTTTCTCTCACTTCAGCACTCCTGAGTCATCCGTTTTCTCTTAATCTTAGAGTACACCAGATACTTTGTTATTTCTCAGTAGTGACAGAATTTGATATTGCAACTGGGGTTGCAATTGTTGAGGCAACTTAGGTATGTCTGATTACAGTTGGAATATTCAAGATCCATTGTGAGTGATGTTTAAAGCTTCAACTGTCTTTATGGTTGGTAAAACTTGTCAAGTCTGTCAGTCTGAATGGTATGTGTGAGGCCTTGTGTTTGTTAAAATTTACCCCAATTTCCGTAAGGGCGGATTTACGGGCCGTAACGTGAAATTATTGGTCATACAGGTTGTTCTGCTATAATGCGATAATTGTGTTCTTGTAAAATATCGTGTTATAGAAAATCGCGTAATAGAAATAACAGGGCTTATGGAGAAAATAGGGTTAGATGCAGATTACTCGAAATCGAAAAAATTTAGTAGTTAGCCTAACACAAAGGATAGCACAGTCTAAATAAATGTTACATTCATATCTAATAATGAAATCATACAGTAAATGTAACACTTTACTTGATGGGGGAGAAGGGTGATTTTGAGGTTGATAAAATCGAGCTTCTCTTCAAGTGTTATATCCTTTCTTTTACGATCATCACCGGGAATTCTATCACCAGAACGCTTCTTGTTGATATTCTTCTTTACTATATTCACAGTTAATACCACAAAATTGGAGAAATAGTAAGCAAAAATCGCGTTATAGCAAACAAGCGTTCGCGTTATACAAATATCGTTCCTAATTCATAAATCGTGTTGGAGCAAATTCGCGTTATCAAAACACGCGTTATAGCAGAACTCACTGTAATTTACAAATTCCGTAAGAGGGAAATTCCCTAACCTGAGCTTCCGTAACGCGGGGGATGCCTGTAGTCCTTTTGGGGACATTTGTGTAAAACATTCACAAATCAAATAATTAATGATGTGTAATCACAGTCGGTCTTCAGGAGCCACTGTGGTGCTGCTGTATGGCTGGGATGGGGCGCAATAATAACTGGTGGACAGGCAAGTAGGTGGATGACTGGGTCACTTGACGTGCTAGTCGGTACTGGACAGGTATATGTCTTGTTTATTCACGAGGTATGATCAGCGGTACGGTACTAAACGGTAGTCATCAGGAACACTGTATGACCTAGGAAAAACATTGAAGCCTGGCTCAAGTTTAGCGACGTACTAGATTAATCATATTCATTTTAGTTTCTTGTTTTGTGAATAATACAAGTTACAACCTGGACAGTCTGCCACTAGGTTCTTATTGTATATGAGTGATGTTCAAAGTGAAATGATATTGAAAATGATGCAGAATTTCAAAATATACCGAGAGAATGATGGTGACGAGAAGCATTACTCTAGGGAAAAAAATCCACAATCCTTGTCAGTGCCCGCCTGCCTAGCCTGCCTGCTAGTTTTTTTGTTTGTTTTTTATTCCTTCTTGGTCATTGTGTCTTCCTGTTATTAAATCCAGGCTTCCCATATGTATTTTCCAGTCTTGACACAAAAGTCAGTAACAAATAAAACTCATCTCTCTGAATTCAATGTAAAAAGTCAAAAAATTAAAACTTGCGTCATTTCATCTTCAAAAATTTGTCTGATTTCCTCTCAGATTTGTGTGCGAGTATATTGCAGATCGCAGGCATTTCTGTCAGTGGAAGAACACTACTCAAATAAAAATACAAATGGATCAAAGAAAGAAGTTTATAGATAATGGAAGACTATGCAGTTCTGGTACATTATATAATACTGTATATATTTTTTCTTTTTTTGTGACTATTTCATGGGATAGGTTATTTACCAAGTGTATCTCCTACTTTCTAGGTTGAGGCATTCTTCAAGGATGTTGATGTCGGACCCGGAGAGAGGGCTCTGGCGCAGGCATTGGAAACCATCCGCTTGCATATTCAGTGGCACGAACACAACTTAGATTCTTTAACAAGTTGGTTACATCAGCATCTCTCTCACTCACAAACTGTAAAGGGCAGTGGTGACTCTGCCTAGTGGAATTATTTCTTCCAGTTTGACTTAGCTGTAGGATTATTGAGACAAATTTTTAAAATCTCACAGCACAAGAGAAATACAGGTATAGTAAATATGACGAATGTATGTGAAGAATTTTTTTTGTGTATCATGTGTCGTTAATTGTGGTTAATGATGCAGATATGACTGTGAAACTACAAAATATTTTAAGTAACTAATGACTTTAATCAAACATAAGTACTGGTCATAATTTGTAATTAGCTATATGAATATGAACACTGAATAGAACAAAGTTTGACTGATCTAGCTGAGCTGGCAGTCTTTTAAGGAACTTCACTTTGTAAGGTAAAGTTTAATTAATAGATAAAATAACTGAATGAAATATATATATATATTTTTTTTAATATTGTAGTTGATGAGTCTTTAAGAATCTCTCAGAAATATATGTTACATATGTGTAGTTCTCTGTATCTTGGAGACTCGAAAGCACAATTATGTAATGGTTGAGTATTCCTTAGTGATTGAACATTGAAAAGACAGATTTTTTGTTTTATACTGTATGGTCATTTTTTACTGGTGACATCACAATAACTGTTCTCTCTGTGATGCAAAAACAAAGCACAATTGTAATATTAAAAATAAACATGTCTTAGTTGATATTTACATTCATTGTATTATGACTTGTACAGTTTTGGAAATATCATCATGACATGCACTTAATCTTAAATCTGAAAGTGTATGAATAATTATCTGAGAATATTGGAATTTGGGGCATAACTAGGAGCTTCTTTGGTGATGGAAACACATGGGGCAGTAATATGCTAGTTAGTGATTATCTTGGTAAGACTGTTTATTGTTTAGCTCGTGATTTTCTCTTTCAGTGGCATTTATGTTGAGTCTACCGCTTCATCAATTGGTATTTTTATTTTCCTAGTTGTACTTAGGTTTTCTCTTAAATTTTTCAGGCAACACTTTTTGGATTCACGGGCTTCATTAATTGGTATTTTTTCTAGTCGTAATTTAGTTTTCTGGTAAAATATTTGGGCAGCACTTTCTATGCTAAAAGCAAGAATTATATTTTTTCTTAGCTTCCCGCCTAGACATTTTTTTGGCAAACATTGAGAAAAGTCAAAGACCATGTTCAATAGTATTCATGAATCAATTCACTACAGTTAAGTAGCACATCTAAAGAGTTAATGTTGTAGTAGCATATACTGTACAGTACAGTATAGATAATTAAATGTGTCCCCTCATCCTTTACTGATTCAGGTGATGCTGGTGCTATGATCTGATATTTGAGGCAAAATCCTAACCCAAAGTTGTAAGAAAAAAAAGTTGCCTTAGCCCATTGATTGTTAATTGAAATGATACCCTTAGCCATAACTCGTAACCATAACTGAGATGGCATTATGTGTTATAAATTATTAGAAGAGTTATCATTATCTCATTAAACTAATGATTGAGTTAATACCAAAAACCTAGAGGTTGTGAGAAGTGTTGTCATTAATTATGTAATCTGATCTGAGGTGACACTAAAGCACACGTTATCAGGTACAGTAAGTTATAAGTTGCCAGTACTGTAGTTAGCCACTCCTCATTCAGGGGCTGATGTAGTTCATTTTAATTAATAATTAGATATCATCATGAATCTTATCAGTTAAGTCATATCTTAGCCTACTTGTATGGTACTGTATTTTCATTTATACAAGAAAACTACAACTACTGTATCTTGATTTCTTAAGTTATAGTTTTTTCAGATAAACTTACATATGCTTATTGTTTGTTTGTTGTTATATAATATATATTTTTCTTATTTTTCAAAGCACTTTAACGTTATTTAATATAGTATAAGTCTCACCCACAGTTGGCTTCAGGCTTCCTTACCTTATCCCACAAAACCACACTTTCCATAATCAACAACAAATCATTATCTTAATTTTTTTTTTACAAATAAAATTAAAGTAAAACCAACAAAGTTAAATTTATTTTAATAAAAATAGGATTTTAAGGGACCCTGGAACTGTTGAGGTCAAAACTTGAGCTTTATAACTTTTTAAGATTTTTAGCTTCAGAAAAGCTGCTTACCTGTACTGTTTTCATTGATGGCATTAGCAAATGATAATCTCTCATGTTAATAAGTTTTCATTTAGTAGTACAGTAGTTTTATATCCCTCCCTAGTTAGTTTTATATTTGAAATGTAACATTGTCTTTGTGCATGTACTGTACCTAAGTTGTGTTGTCTTCTAACAGAACTTGTTAATTCAATTTTTTTTTCATTCAACAGAATATCTTAAAAATTTTTGAGTTACTGAGTTCTGTTCTATTAGTATACTGTATTCATGATAGAGATGGCTTGGTAGAGTCTGTTTACCTTCCACAATCTTCAGAAAGTTTGAAGGGCAAGTGAAAAGAGTTGAGAACACATACTAACTTTTATGTGCTAGTACAGTATTTGAAAGACCAGATAGTATTTGGATGTCAGTCAAATATTATTGATTAGCAATACTGTATAAGCTTTTTATATATAGTACGCTTATGTATATATTTTTAGTTTTTTTAAAGGAAGAAAATAAAGGTGTTTGGGTGCTACTATAGCATGTGCTCTTCAAAGATATCTTAAGCACCTGCGGTCTACGATGACATGACCTGACCTAACTAACCTCATCTAGCCTAAAAATACTAAATCACAAAATAAATATTGATAGTATTGCAGTTTGTAATGTAAATAAGTTGTAGACTGCACGCTATAATGTAAATATCTTTGTAGACTGCGCACTATAGTAACACCGGTGTTTGTATACTTCTTGATCACCAGGCTGCTTTTACACTCGCACACTTTTGTTCAAATATTTGACCCCTCGTAATCAAGTCACTGGCACAAGATAGCTAGTTTATGCACTCAACTCTTAATATTTGTCCTCCTTTTGTCCAAGCCATACCTACAGTAGGTTTGCTGATGGTGGTTAACAGCTATAAAATAAATCCATCTTGAAAACAATGATATGGTTGTTACAAATAAGAGCAAAGCAGAACACGAAAGACATGTTGCACTATATAATAAATTGAATGACTGAAAATATTGATGAACTAATAAAGAACATGAGTACTCTATTGCAGTAGGTCAGTGATCTCATATTTGGATCTCTCCCATTTTGGACTCTAAGGCTCCAGTCATAGTTCTCTAATCTTTTTCTTGGTTTTATCTAAACTTTTCAGGGTATGAGAAGCATATGTATTGATTTTCAATATAATAAAAAGTGAAATTCAAAGTTTAAATTATCTTAAAATCTGTCAAATGTCGTTGGAAATATCTCTCTTAAAAATATATTTAATAAAATTTAAGTTACTGTTTTAAATATTATTAAATCCATTCCACAACTACTGAACAGTTCAAGATTCAAAACTTATGCCATATTTTGTTAAACAAATCTCATGTACTGTATTGTATAGTGTAGTTCTGAGTGAGGTAGAATTAACATTAATTGTATATATAGATGCTGAGAAAAGACATGTGTGATAACATCTCTCATAAATTTTTTTATCCAAGACATTATACATTTTTAAGATTGAACTATAATTCTCTTTGGTGATAACTAGAGGTTTGTTTATGTGTTAATATCTTAGTAAGGTATATACTGTACAGTATTTATACTGTATATTGTAGCAGTTGGTTAGCAAGATAAAATAGTATTAATTACATACTTCACTTAGTTTATGATGTACAGGTCCTCATGCAAGATCTTCCACCATTAGGCAACACCTGGCAAGCTCACCATTGATTATTTAACTGCAGGAAGCATTATTTACTCAGTGTCTTATACTACAAACAGCCTTCTCACCCAATAGAATCATCATCATTTTATGACCAGTTTCCACGCTTGCCTGTCTTAACAGTGATTACCCGATGGTCTGTTGGGTAAAACCAGAATGGGATATCCTGCTCCGGCTCACCACCACAAATCTGTAAAAAGCAGCAGACACCAGGGTTTGGGCACAACTCTGGTGACTCCCCGATTGCCATCAGACATGTTGAAGCAAAGTTTTATGGTTGAATACCCTTCCAAATGCCAACCCACAGGGTGGGAACAGCTGGCAAGGCAGGGTCACAACTCCCTAAGGTAAATAGACTAAATTACTGAAATGATATTTGGATCATGGAACAATAACAAAACTCACTAAGTTCATGTATTTAGAACTGCCACGATTATAAAAGCGTTCACACTACACAAAGTCTAGGTGTCAATCCTGCCTTCTTTGGAAACAGGGGAACAGGTCTTGATTGCATTTATTAGCAATGTGTGTAAATACTTGTACATTTATTGTGCAAGTACAAGCCGGAATGGGAACGAGTAGGTTTTGGCACAAGTTAACCTGTTACCAGGAATCTGGGATAGGGAAAGATGTCAGGTTGGGCAAAGCTGATCGGCATATTTTGCCCCCTTCTCTCTTAGGTTATGGTGAGGTTTTGGCCACCTCCATGACCCTTATCAGTTTTCTACAGCAGCCATAAGGTGAAGGTTCTGTACTCTCCAGCAAACTGTATATAGTACTACCTTAAGTTGTACTGTATATACTAAACAGTAGTTTTTGTAGAAGTATTTATGAAATATAAGGACAATTTAATTTATGGCACATCAGCAATGAAAATACGTACTGTACTGTAGTGATATCTCCGTTAGCCAGAACAATTGGTGCAGAGCACTTCCGAGAATGAGAGATTTCTGGGTAACGAGACGACTCTGTCAAAGCTGGAAAAATCCTTCATCCCCGGAATTTTCCGGTTAACAGAAATTTCGTTAACTGAAACCATTGTTTCAATGGGATTTTGGGTAATTGGTTCCAGCTCACCGAAAATTACATACAAACTAAAAAAAAAATGCAGTTAAGTACACTTACTTTGAGGTGTGTATGTAGAAGGCTCCTGGTTGATGATGATGGGAATTAGAAGTGGGGGTGGAGGAGAAGGGAGAAGAAAAGGAAGTGGGGTGGAAGAGAAATCACCCCATGCTTGATGCCGTCATTTCACCCATAAAATTTTAAGTTCACTAGGTCTAATTCAAGATTATTTTCTTTAAATCAACACTGCACTGCACTATATATTGTCAATATGTTAAATAAATTTCAGAATGACCAATAATTGTACTGTAAAAACATAAAAATACTCTGTGTTCAAGAGACCCACAAGCAAGATGTTTCCTCCACTGAACAGAGAAACAAACTGATGCCTTGGTGGGTGAGTGAAGTGGCTGATGGGTGCACCAAAAACAAGTTCCCTGTACTGCAATTATGTTAAATAAGTGTTAAAATGACTAATAATTTTAATATAAAACTTGGAAAATTATTGAATAGTACAACCTTCTTGATATTTACTCCAATTTTAACGAATGTAAGCCCTAGAACCAATTTCTGAATTGGCGGACTAATCTTCCAGCTGGTGAGCAAGCCAAAGCATGTCGAAACATTTTCGTAAGAATTTCGTTAACCAAATTTTTGTTCTTTAACCGAAATGAAGATTCTTATGGAAGGTAATTTGTTAACCGAGGGACCACTGTATACTAAATCGCGATATATAATTACATGTAATCAATGGGGGAAAATAGGGTTAGGTTCTGGAAGCCCCAAAAAAGTGACTAAACTTAACTTTGAGTTCATTTTCTTACTAACTAAAGCACCAAGGAACACTTGACTTGGGAACAACAGGCTATTTCATTGTCAGTATCAATATCAAGGAACACCAGACTCAGCAGCTGACGCACCATACTGGGAACACCAGACTGCAGTAGACGCTACACTGCCACCTTCACTTGACAATCCCACACCTACATAAATGAACACCAAAAGTATTAGCTACAGTATTAAATCTTTTCCATTAAGCTTTCCATTTCCTTCACTTCACTTTTCACGTCACTAGCAACCCATTTACACTCGCCTTACAAGTCGTAATCTGCAGCAGAGTCAGCTGCTTTCTCGTCACACTCACTCAGAAAGACTGAGTGGGTGAGTGTGAATGCATGAGTGAGCAGCCACGGTGGCACCTCTGGTGAGCAAATAATGCATTTGTTTGCCATGGAGGTACATTTGAAATATTTCCTGCCCAATTTCCCTCGCGAAATTAAAAAATTATTGCTATATACAGGAAAATTTTGATAATTTTGGTAGCCGCAATATAAAAAATCATTATATAAAGTCGCGATATATCTCGACCCTACTGTTCATCATCTCTCAAACCCAGAAAAAATTCTCCCATTCCAGGAATTTTCCAGAAAATGTCCCTCGGAAAATCATTCCCAAAACTGGAAAATTCCGGCTTTGCGAACGATTTTCCGAGAAAATTTCAATTCCTGCTATTGTAGAGTTCTGGGTTTGAGGGATTCTGGCTAATGGAGATATTTTAGACTCGAGTACAGCCTCTTGTACTTGAATTCAACCCAACTGTAATTCCATCTGGTTCCCAAGATATGCTAGAGACTGTCAATTAATTGAAAATGTCCAAGAGGGGGCCACCAGATTTGCGCTTTCATTCCGGCACCTCAGCTATCCAGAAAGATTAGAACGTCTGCAGTTACCTAGCTTATACTATAAACAAGTAAGGAGTGACTTAATATAAGTTTATAAGCACCTGAGAGGACATTACTCAGTCAAGTGTTCATAACTGAAATTAGCAGATGCCCACCCCACTAGAGATCACAGCCTCAGGTTGAAGAAGCCACAAGTTCAGGAAATTGTAAGGGCAAATTTTTATGGAGCGAGTTGTGAACTCTTAGAATAATCTGCCAGTGTCGTGGTGGCACCAAGTTTGAGCTCATTCAAGACCAGACTTGACCAACACTGGTACAGGTACAAATACATTCTAGAGCCAGTACAGGTACTTGCCAATGGTGTGTAACAGACGTAACCCAAGTGGCTAGCATACGTACTGTTGGCGAAGAGGATATATTAAAGATAAAGTTGTACTAATAGCTTCTTTAACTTGGGGCTGTTATGTTTAGTGGGGCAGTCATCCACCAACTTCAGATATGTACCCTTTAAGGTGCGTATGAACTTCTAATGAAAATCATCCCCATGCCCTTCTAATGTATAAGTTAGGCAATTTAAAAAAGTTCTTATCTATACAGTATAGGTAATGAGGTGTCCGAGTGCCTTGGGTGTGTCTCGTAGATCAAATAGTATCTTTTGCTATAAGGACATTCGCTTGTACAATTTTTTATTCTTACTATACAAAAGCTAATGACAGTCCCAGCAAAAATTTAAATTGTGCAGGCCAGACACATCCCCTCCCTCGAGTTGACTCGCCACTATTTGCTTTTTGTACAGTGGAAGTGTCTGTGTGTGTACAGTATACATTTGTTCCATCCTTTCGTGAATCTTTCCACAATGGCATCCAAGAGTTATGTTGATACTCTGGCTACACCCACCACCCCCAAGAAGCCAAGTAAGATAGAATAATTGTAAACAAGCTGCAACTAAGGAGTCATTTCCAGCAAGATTGGCAGAGATCCTTCACATAATGTATTGTATCAATCATGCAGTATATTCTGCATATTGTATTTAGTTTATAATTTTTTAGGCTTTTTTTTTTTCCAGGAACCAGATTAATGTTAATAGGGACAATGATGATGATGATGATGATGATGATGATTATTATTATTATTATTTTTTTTTTTTTTTGTGCGCGCGCGCGTAGCTTATCACCATCCCTCCTTCACATTACTCTGACTGTCTGGCAGTGGCAGCCATATTCCCTTTGTGTTAAGTTCAGATCAGTGCTCTCTCTCTATCCATGTGTATTTGTGCCACCCTTTCACAAATCTTTTTGCAATGGCATTCATGTATTGTACTGATTCCTTGGGTACTCTCACCATTGTTGAAACTGTGAAAGCCTTTGATAATTGAAAATAAGCTTGAAATTATAACACCAAGTCAGAAAACCCCATAAGTCTGAGAAGCTCTGGGTTCCTGTGGTTTGGCAGTTGAGAGAGGAATCAGTTCCCACATGTTTTTGTCCTAAGCAAGTTAAGACAAAACAACTCCAAAGAAAAGGAATGGTGCTCAGAATTCTACTAATTGAAAAGAAACTGAAGTGAGTACTAGATAGAAGTGTAATTAAATATAAGTGAATACTGTACTGTACTGTATACATCTTGTTAGTGTAAGCAGCTCCCCATTGTCCTCTACCTCAAGATTCATCTGCTACAATAAAATTAAGTGCAGAGCAAATGTATACAGTACTTTTAACTTTAATATTGTTTTGGGAGGGATTTTTCAGCAAAATGATGGTAGAAAGCACAAAGTAGGGATGTTACACGTAACTGACCGCCTCGAGCCTCCTATACAGTAGTCCGAGTTAGGGAGGCCTTACTGTATTCGGGTTTTTCTTGTCATTGGGAAAATTAAGCCAATTTTCTCATGTTATTTGCAAAACAAAAATTCACTTAACTATTGGTTTTCAAGGAATCTTACCCTTTCGTATAGCAAGGGATACCTGTACAATAGTACAAGTGAGGGAGCAGTACATTTATGAAAA